AGGCTAATTCTCGCACCTGGACTAGCCCATTTCTAATGATGTTTGTAAGCACCCCAAGGTGCGCTTACCGGGAAGATTCTAGCCTACATCCATCTTCATCGCGTGTGCCTCAGAGAGCAGAGCTATCGCGTCTACCCGGGAGAGCTGAGCATGGCGTCTGTGATCCGGAGAGCAGAGTCTCTCCGGGAGCAGAGCAGAGTCTGTCCTCACTTCCTCTTCCGCCCAGAATTCTATTCTGTTTACTCCTCCCATCTATGTTCTAAGCTGAGGGCCAGCCAAGCAGTTTCTTTTATTGCTCAGCCAATGAAATCAACAGATTGATATATGACACTCCCACATCAGATTTATACATAAATAATATGGTAGAAATATAGACACAGTGTGCATAAGCTGCATGCCTTTAACATATGCAGAGAAATAAATGATAGGCTGTGTGATTTCCCAAGTAGAAGAGATAATTTTAACTGGAGAGTACTGGGAATCTCAACACCCCCTAAGAACAGGCAGAGTCACAATTGTTAGCTGAATTCCAGTATTCCCCTGCTACCAGTATCAGTGTAGACAGATTGTGTGTGTATGTGTGTGTGTGTGTGTGTGTGTGTGTGTGCGTGCGTGCGTGCATGCGTGTGTGGTGTGTAAGAGACTGGTGTTCACAAGATTCCTCATGTTGAACTTCTGGTCTCAAGCAGTCAGGCGCATAACACCACACATCACTTGATGAAGAATCTTTATGCTGCAAACCTATTTCCAGGGGTGGAAGAGAATTAAAACGAGGGGGAATTATTTCAAATTTTCTATCATTAAAACTATTTTAGAACAGAAGACAAACTAAATTGGGCCTCTTAAGACTGTACTAAGATATAAACATTTTTTCCTGCGGCTTCCCCCAAAGATGGCAATTAGATATGGTGTCTGGTTTTAAACATAAAGGTTGCCATGATGAGGAAATTCTGAAGATTCAGGATATTTCCAGATTGGATTTTACCAAGCGAGTCTCCAAGACTTGAAACAACATATCGTAGCGGTGCCTACTTCTGGTCAGTTGTGTCTTAACTCGTGAACCCACGACAGTGCTCGCAACTTCTACTCACGTTTTGTGTTTTGAAAACTTACAGGAAAACTGGTAGATTTTCTACACCAACTTTTAAGCACTGATTCCATATTATTTATGTGAAAGTCATTGGCAGCATTTTTCCCAAAGCCAGTTTCACGGTTAGTCACCCTCCGAATTTAGGCAATGCTGAAAGGTTTAGCCTTATACTTTGCCATGTGCTGTTTTCCAGAACATAACAACTTATCAGTTCCTGCTTGATTGATGTGTACAAATGGCTCTAAGGCAACACTGGTCACCCCTGGGGTCACACTACACAAACAGCTTGACTTTAGTAGTTAATTAATGCGTTTGTCATGACAACATGTCAGTTTGTTGTTTTTTTTTATAGGAAATATTTAAGTGGCAACTCCCCAAAGTCATATATATATATATATATATTTGCTACTCTGGCATCAAACAAACCTCTCTTGGCTCCAGTTGTCACCATGAACGTTGTCCCGATACTTGCTTATGACCATTCTTGACTGCTTTTTGTCTTTCTTGGCATCGGTTAAGTAGCTATTCTTTGCATTTGCACTGTGGCGTTTCCCTCTTTCTTCTGAAGGCTTCACCAACTTCATGCGTAGTCCTGCTTGTGACGTGTTTAACCCTTTGCACCACGAAGTGTACCAGGACATGGACCAGCCCCTCTGCAACTACTACATTGCTTCGTCTCACAACACATACCTGACGGGGGACCAGCTCCTTTCTCAGTCCAAGGTGGATATGTACGCACGGGTACTACAAGAGGGCTGTCGGTGTGTGGAAGGTAAGTGGAGTTCGTCTGAATATGGTTAATAGGCCATTTAAATAATAGAGGCCAAAAGGCTTCTTCTATAAGAATTACATATATTTGTTCATTATAAAGTCATTCTCCTACTTGTCTCCTTATTTTCAATCGAGAGAGAGAGAGAGAGAGAGAAAGAGAGAGAGAGAGAGAGAGAGAGAGAGAAATGTGCCAATATTTGGGAAACATACACTGAATTGTTGAAAAAAAAATCAAAGTAACAATCTCCCTAAAAAGATGTTTTAAAATATAAAACAGCAAATGTCGTTTCAGGCAATCTTTTATTTTGTTCAGACCTCATGGTCCACATTTATTAAATTGCTCATCAGTTTCAGTGGTGAGGACACAGATATAAGAAAGATGTGGTATTTGACTTTGAAGAGCTCACAGATTGTGTGCAAGCACGTACATAGAAATGGGGTATGATATGAGGATTCTGTTGGCTGAGTCACAGACATGGTATAGGAATGTCAGTATAGGCAAACAGAGTGTGAGGTGAAATTTAAGTAATCAAGCAGAGTTGGGTCAGGCATAATGGTTTAGGTTCAGATTTTTATTTGGGGGGGATGTGTGTGGCTAGTGAAGGAATTCTTCCCCTTTGGCTTATGCTTGCTGCTTGAAGGGACCAGATCATCATGATGGGGAAGGCGAGGCGTGAGCATGAGGAGGCTGAACACATTGCATCCACAGTCAGGAAACAGAGAGAGAGGAGTGCTGGCTGGTCAGCAGGCTTCCTCATTTCTTCCCATTTTTATTCAGTTCGGCTCCAAGCTCATGGGATGGCGTCGTCCATGTTTGAGCGGGTCCTTTGTCCTCAGTTCAACTTCTCTTTATCTTCATCTTGCAATAGGAAACACACTCATTCTTTTAAGGGTCTCCAAAGTCTTCATAATCGATACTATTTAAGGTTCGCTTTCTTCTGAGACTCAGTGACTCACCACTGTGAGCCTCCTGTAAAATCTAAAAAAACAATACAATGGCCCAGAGAACATAACCATTTCCAAAGTGGAGGAATGGGGGCCTAGTCCAGAAAGATCCCCCCAAAGCAACCCTGAATCCACCAGGGTAAGCACCAAGCCCTGCATAGCTCCATCCAGCATTTGGAGCTGTTGGTCGCATTATCTAGATTCACACAAGCTTGAGAAGTCCTTTCTGCAAGCTCTGCTGCCTAGTGTACCTATGGTTTCTCTCTTGAGCTTGCTTAACTCTGGGAACATCTTAAATCTCTGGCATCTCCAATACCTGTAATCTTCCTTGCAACTTAGGCCTGCCTTCATGTCTTCACAGTTTATTCAGGAGCCCCGTTTAGGGAACCCTACTGTGCCACAAGGTGCCTGACCTCAAGCTTCTAGCCCACAGCCTCTGGAAACACTTCTACAAGCTGTTTCCAGAGGCCTCCGAGTCAGGTGCATCCAATCAGTGTTCATACCAGTTTTCTCTTCTGGTTACTTTCCTCATCACTCTGACCAAATATTTGATAAGAAGCACCTTAAGGGGGAAAGAAGTTTATCTCTCCGAGCTCTGAGGTTTGTGGGTGCAGATGAGAAAGCACTGAGAGCAACCTAAGGTCGTGGTGGCAGTAACCTAAGGGTACTGGCTTTCACCCCATGTATCACAAGGCAGAGAAAAGGGAAGGTGGAGCCCTAAATAAGGGTTTAATAGCCCGCAGGTGTAGGGCCCAGCTTATAGTTTAGACAGTGCTGTGTAGGTGTAGCTTGACCCACCCCGTGGAATGTCTGTTTGTAGAGGAAGAGGGAAAGTGGGAACTGATCCAAGAGAGTGGCGGAACACCTATTATTGTTTAGAGGGAGAATTAAAAATATTGGAATAGTCTGGCCTGATTGTGCAAGCCTCTTAGCCACAGCTGCTTGGGGGGGCTGAGGTTGAAAGTTCTCAAGTGCAAGGCCCTTGAGATAACCACAGGATAACCCAGTGAGACCCTGTTTCAAAATAAAAATGGGAAAGAGGATGGGTGATATTAGCTGCAATGGTGGAGTTTGTGCATTGGGTTCTAGACTCCATCTCCAGTACTGTAAACAGCGACTAAATGGTGAAGAGATAAACCCGAGAGAGCTCAGTGAGAGAACTGAAGGGTGGAAGGGATGAAGAAGAAGCTAGAGAGGATGATGGTGCTGATCTATGCTGATGGAAATCCAGTGGGCAGGGCAGAAGAGAAGTGTAATTCTACCTGCCAAGTTGAGAGTGATTTTTTAAAACATTTAAACCCCTGTCTTTCTCTGTCATTTGGATAACAATATCTGAACTTAACAGAAGAATCCAGAATGATAAATGTTTCATAAGTCTCTATGGATACGGTAGTTAAAATCAAATATAGACAGGCAAATTGGTGGGCTGATGGCTGGATATCTTTCTTATGAGACAATTTGATGCATTAGGTGTTTGAGCTATTTATATATAAAAACAATCTTACTTCAAAGTGGTTCTGTAGACTTGTTTTATTTTATGACAATTTTTTTTACAATAGTTGCAAGACAACGTATTGACATTATAATGACTAAGTCAGGTGATTTAATAGCTGAACATTCGAAACGCTCAAAGTGGGGGCTGGAGAGATGGCTCAGTGGTTAAGAGCATTGCCTGCTCTTCCGAAGGTCCTGAGTTCAATTCCCGGCAACCACATGGTGGCTCACAACCATCTGTAATGAGGTCTGGTGCCCTCTTCTGGCCTGCAGACATACACACGGACAGAATATTGTATACATAATAAATAAATATTTAAAAAAAATGCTCAAAGTAATAACGCGGAGAAAAAAACCTTCTAAGTATCAGGTCTTGAAGTGGCATTCCGCTCTCAACTATCCATCCTCTTGGTCACTTAACCCTCAGTAATTTTCAGTGTTTGATATCATAGCCATGTCCTGTGCACCTAGCCTCACTGCATTCATGCTGATGGTGGCCGCTCATTTTAAATGCCAACATTTCTTTGGAGGCCAAGTATGAAAATGACATTCAGCGATTTCATGGAGTAACTGTCCACTCTAGACACCACTGTGACCTGCTGCTGTCTCCTTTTTGCACTTTCTTTTACTTCTCTCGCCCCTCAGAACCAAGTCGTCTCTATTTCTGCTTACCTGTCCACAATCGGTATCCCAATTGCGGACACTAAAATCAAGGCAACTTAAGAAAGAAGAATTTATTGGGACCTATAATTTCAGAAGGTTAGTTAGGGTCCATGACTATCATGACAAGGAAGTGTGGTGGCAGGAAGGCATATTACTGGAGTGCATGGCTGAGAGCTTACATCTTGATACAGAACCAGTGTAGAGAGGAGCTAACTGCGGGTGGCATGAGATTCGGAAATCGCAAAGCCTGCCCCCAGTAACACTTATCCTCAAACAAGACCACGTCCCCTGATCCTTCAACAGTTCAGCAACTGTGGACCAGGCACTCATGAGCCTATGAGGATATTCTCATCCAAACCACACTCTTTGAGCTTGATTGTATTCCCATGTTCATTTTCATATACTGAACCAAAACTTTTAATCCTCCAGCTCTGGCTGGATATGAAAAAGGAAAGCTACCCCTCTATGTCAGTTTCTGATGAGGGATGTATAGTTTTTGTTGTGTTAGCCCTTTCAAAATGAATGGGAGATTTTAGACATTTTTGGATGTCTATTGATGGATGAATGTGGACCGTCCCTATTTCCTTTCTATTTGACAGTCACCAAAGAATCATTTCAAGACTAAAGGCCACCTGCCCCGGATATTAATACAGTCTGGAATACATCCTGGCACAGAATGTTGTTTATTCTTTGCCTTTCTGTTTGTTTTGAGGTAGGGCCTTCTATCATAGCCTGGGTTGGTGTAAGGACTCAGTGTGTAGCTCAGATTGGCCTTGGACTCATTGTAGCCTTCCTTTCTACCTCAGCCTCGACAGAGCACTGCAGACCACACTGGGCTTCGTGGTGCAGTTTTCCTTTCTCAGTCGTTCTCCACTAGCTTATGCCCATAAATGTCAATCTTTGACTTGAAATTCTTCTTCTTAGAATAAAGTATAATCAAACAGTAAAAGTATAACCGAACTACTGTTTCTAGAAAGGCTTTGTGAAGAAGAATATTTATACCCACCTGGGGAATGTGGCCAGCTTTGTACTTAAATCATTTTCTTTTTGGAAGCTTTGGTTAGCATATTGAACTTCAGTCTACTATGGAAAGAAAAATGGGTGCTACTCAGTTTTGTAGACTGGTCTTGGTTGATAGTTTTCCATATGTCTCATTTAAGCCCTCAGCACCAGGAGGAATGGATTAAGTTCCAAGAGGAAACTTCAACACAGGCTTGGGTAGATGACTGAAGTTTCTATAGCTTGCAAGCTGGAGACTCAATCTAGTATTCTAGTACTGTACCATTTCTGACCTGCCTGTGAGGGACTGAATACAGACTAGCAGATTCCACGAGAATGACTAGACACAGTGGAAGCCTAGCACTGAAAGGGGGGACTTACTTCCTTCATGTTTAAGCCTAGCACTCCAATAGTTACTTGTCTCTGAAGGCTCAAAACCTGGTCACACAATCTCTCAGTCTTCCAGCAATTTCTTTTTATCATATAACCTGAAGTTCTTAGTTAACATTTGTAACTTGGGCATGGAGACACCCGGTCTTTATGTGCCAGTGGCACTCACCTGCCTTAGTACATATGGACCTGGCCCAGAAAGAATCTGATCCTGGAATGTAGCAGGTCATAGACAGAGATGCTGAGATCTACAGATATTTTTCTTAGCCAGCTTCTGCTGGGGACGATACTTTACAGTGGAGAATGATGATTATATGGACTGTTTTATAAAGTATTGTGACCCGAGAGTCTACCTTCTTTCATCTGTCTGCTTTGATGATGTGGGTTTCTATATTCACTAGTTCAGCTGCGATAATGTTCTCCTTCAGGGTGTGTATTGGCAAGGCCTTGAATTCCCTGAGATCTGCCTGACTCTGCTAGGATTTGTGCACCACCACCGCCTGGCTATTAGAGTATGTCTGTTTTGCCAATACCCCCAGCACTGTGTTAACCTTATGAAACTTCCCTTGAATCTGGCTGTCAGGACCTCAGTGCTATTTGGGCATGTTGTTATCCTCAATTAACAGAAACTCAGTGAATTCAGATATAAAATATTAGAAATAATCATGTCAGTTGTTGATAGTCTGCCTGTGATTTAAATATTAGCAAAAGAACACTGTGTCATTGCCTATGTAGGCTAAAGCATGTTGATATGATGGGCAAATCAGGCATCAATGTGCTTTTTATATTTTGCATTGTTTCTTTGGAAGGTATTAATATATTATCTGCTGTATCATTTCTCCTCTAAAATGGGACTGTGAGTGAGGCAATAGGTGTTGAAATTACACACAGTCATGCACTGCTTGATGGTGGTGATACAGTCTAGGGAATGTGTCAGGCAATTTTGCCAAATACCAGAATGCACTTACACAAATCTAAGTGGTGCGGATCAGTCCAATATGACTCCTTAATGCGATCAAGGGACACAGTAAACATGATCTGTTTAAAGCCGTTGCCTATGGAAAATAGCATATTGTTTTCTAATAAACTTTTTTTTTAATAAATTGAAAGCGTGTACTCTGAAATAATATACAAAGCATGGCATGGTTATTCATTGTCATTACCAACCATTAGGTACTGGACAGAATTGTACATGCTATGCTCTGTACACCGTAAAGTACAGTATATCTGTTTTCATCAGTAATACCATTAACGTGTGAGGGATTTCTTACGCTAAGGCATCACTACAGGATGCTGTCTTACAAAAATTTAGAAATGTTCACTTTAGGCTGGGAATGACAGTGTACCCCTTGAATCCTTGGACTTGGGAAGCAGAGGCAGGCAGATCTCTGTAAGTTCAGTGCCAGCCTGTACTACATATTGAAACTCTGCCTAAGTAAATAAGTAAATAAATAATAAAAAGAAAGAGATGTTTATTTCAGGGTGGAGAGATGGCTCAGTGGTTATAGTCACTTTCTGCTCTGATAGAGGACCAGCCAGTGTTTAAGTGTATGGTGGGCTCGGGTCTTTTATTAATTAAGCTTCAACAGCAAAGAACTGGTAAATTAGAGTAAGAAAGCTAAATTGGGATTAGTTGGTTGCATTTAAGGAATGGGCTCACACAGTTGTGAGGTGAGCAAGTCCGAACTCTGTAGATGAACTAACCCCTAGCCAGAGACCTTGGTTAAAGGTGATATTTCAGTTGCATGAGCTCAAAGCAGGCTCAGGCAAAACTCATGTGTCCTAGTTGCTTTCTGTTGCTATGATGAGATGCAAATTGATCTGTCCAATTTATTTTAGTTAATAAAGAATTTTTTAGAAGACTATATTCCCAAGAAAAACCTTGATAAATGTGAGTTTACTTGTGAGCATGATGTCTTTGTGAACTATAAACACTCAAAACAAGCAAACACACACATCCATACCCCCCACCCCCCATCATTTCTCATCTTTAACTCTTTATTCTGTTTATTCTGGTAAGTATGCCAGAATGTTCAATTCTCTGTCTTTACATCATTGTCATAATTGTAGTATGGGATAAGTCCTAGTAATATAATCACAAATGTTTCCGGTATTTCCAGAGATATTAAGAAACCAGACTTTATATTGTTGATGTGACTTTGGTTTTGGCAGTTGACTGTTGGGATGGCCCAGATGGAGAGCCAGTGGTCCACCATGGTTATACTCTCACTTCCAAAATTCTCTTCAGAGATGTGGTGGAGACCATCAACAAGCATGCCTTCGTGAAAAACGAGTAAGTACAGCAACACCCAGGAGCTAAAGCTCCACCCCTTTGCCTGGGAGCTCAGCCCAAGTTAAAGCAGCTACACTCTTCCTTGGACCCCTTTCCTTCATTTATACTGCCCTGACTCCCTTTCTTCTCCCCAGCAGAGATTGGGAACAAGTACAATGGCTTCCAAGTTTATGGACTCCTGGGACCCACTTGATCCCATTCTTTCTCATCCTGTCTCCTAGTCAATATCCTAGCAAGGAATGACTTTCAAATTTTTCTAAACTAATACATCTTGGAAACAAAGTATTATACATAATAGGTTTTTAATATTTTTGAGGCTTCATTTTAACATGTATGAGTGTTTTGCTTGAATCCATGTCTTTGCACCATGTGACTGTAGGGCCTGTGGAGGCCAGAAAAAGGCACTGAATCCCCTGGGACTGGTATTATAGACAATTAGTAGCTTCCATATGTGTGCTGGGAACTGAACCCCAGTCCTTTGGGAAAGCACCAAAGGCTCAACTTCTGAGCCATCTCTCCAGCCCCATAACAGTGTTTTGACACTACATTATAATTTAATAAAATGTGGAATGTCAGACACTTCAGGATACCTTAGACATCCAACACAGGGAAGACCTACTGTTTCTTTGACTTCACTGCTTTCTCTCAGTTCTCATTTCCCCTTCGGTTCAAACTGTGTCCTGATGCTGTGGTTTCTGCTGCTGTAATTCTTGTCCCAGGGATCTCTCTCTAAAACTTCTCCAGCACCCAGGATGTCTTCATGCCCTTCACATGTGGCTCCTTCCTTCTCTATTTCATCATCGTTCCACAGAAACCTGGCACCTGCAAGCAATGATTGTCTCTCACTTTCCCCCACAAACCTGGAACTTGTGTGTGCTATTCTGTGTCCCAAGTACCCTTCGCACCATGTCACCCACGTATTTCAACCCACTGGGAAGCATATCTTGACCCACAGCTGACTTACCCTCTTCTTCTTGATACTTAGCTACGTGAACACGTCACAGCATGTAATACCCTGATAAAAAGGTTGATATCGTCCTTCCTTTTATAGGTATGAGGTGGTAAACTCATTGAAAATATGAAACTGTATTTCAGTAATTATTGATTTCTTTCTGTTTAGCAGGTACCATCAATATACTGAGCATATGAGAAAGGCTTTTTAGATTAAAGAAGCAAATTAAAATTGTGATTGCATAAAATTAATATTTTAGAAGCTTAGTAGCCTTTCTAATATTTGGTCCTATTAATTAACCATGAGGCTGAAATGCTTTCTTCTAATAAAGGATTTTTGTTGTGTAACAAATTTAGTTTCTGGCATATTTTACATGGGGGAATTTCATGTTAAATTTGGTTTTTCAAGCCCTGATTTTTGTGAATCTTACATGTCAGTATTTCCCATTGTATGAAATGGTGCCACCGCAAACCTCAGAAGATCCTCCAGTGCCTAGGATGCTGACTTCACGTACTTTAGGGGTGGAGAGATGGCTCTGTGGCTAAGAGCACTTGGTGCCTTCTGCAGAGGGCCTGGGTTTGGTTCTCAGAACTCATATAGTTGGCTCAAAACCACCTTTAATTCTAGGTTCAGTGATGTCTGACAGCCTCTTTTGATCTTTATGGGCAATGGGAGTGCATGTACATTCAGACAAAACATTCATACATATAATAGAATAGGAAATAAGAAATCTTTAAAACAGGAAACACCTTAACTGAGAATATCATTTACTTGTTTAGGATATTAACAAATTTTGGCCTTTTTTATTTTCCTTTTATTTTTAATGCTTCCTTTTACCAGGGCTTCTTAACTTTGGCACTATGAACATCTGAGGCAAGACCGTATAGCCGTCTTGTGTGCTGTAGAGCATTTGGTCGCATCCCCAGCTACAGCTCACCAGGTGCTAGCAGCATCCCTAGATTTTGCCCACCAGAAGCTGTCTTTCGACATTGACAAGTATCCCTCAGCAGGGCAGGCTCAACAATCCTTTCCCTGGTTGCGATCAGCCTTATTCTTGGCAGCACTAGATACTTATGAGCTCTTTATATGTGAATTGATCATTTAAAATGAGTTTCGTTAAAACCTACACGATTGCAAGACTTCTCAGGGGGCTTCCTGTCGATTTCTCTTCACAACACTCTCGGATTAACAACCCATCCCAGGGCACAGCCAGACGACAGACCAGTCAGGAAAGCGAGCCATCAGTCGGAGGCACCAGCCCGAGGACTTCAGCCTCAGAGCTTCCTAATCAACAGAAATTAATTTGGAGAGGTCATAGGCTGTTTTGTGGAGCTTGCCCAAAGAAATCTTTTTTTTTTTTTTTGTATACAGATGTACTAGGCAATTCAAATATCGGTTTGTGTATTTCAAAAGAAGATCTCACATATTATTTCTGAAGCTACATGATAGAAAACTAAATTCCATTTTTGTTTTTCCTGCTTTGGCTGCCAACCTCTCAGATTGGTTTTGGGAATCACTTTACCTTTTCTGTACTGAAACCTGCATGCTGCTTTAGAATAGATAGTGGGTTTTCTAGGCATTTGTGTGTGTGTGTGTGTGTGTGTGCACGTGTACTCACATGTCACACTGCACATGTGGGTGTCAGAGGACAGCTAACAGGAATCCCTTTTCACCTACATCTACATGTAGGTGCCCAGGATCGGATCCAGGCCATGAAGCTTGGCAGCAACTGCCTTTACTGGCTGAGGCTGAGCCATCTCACTGGTCCAGCTTTTTTTTTTCTTTTATAACTGAATTCTGGTGTTCACTTTTATAAAAAAAACGTTGGGGAGGCCTGATGTTTAAAATAAAGCTGCATGATGCTATTTTTTCCCCTTAGTTCCCAAGCTGGGACAGGTATATTTTTAGAGTAAGCAATTGTCTTTAATGATATGCAATAGTCTCTTTGGTTCATTTACACTTGTGAATAAATATGAAAGAATGACATCATGAATTTTCTTTCCTTAGGCTTCATGTGTGTGTGTGCAATATCAAGCTGTTTCTTATTAACATTTTATTTTTTAAAAAATGTCATTATATACCTCATTTTTTGCCTAACATTAAATTAAGTCACCCTGCAAGAACTAATATTTGTTTACTCGTGGTACCTGGCAGGATGTATTTGCTTGCTTTGGGAAAAATTTTTTTTTCAGTGCATCCTTAGTCTTTCTTCTTTTAGCATCTTACTCATTATCCATCAGTATTGCCCATTCGGTGGCTGGGATTTTAAGAAAGCCATGCATACAGATTCTGTTTCCAGGGTTCCACAATCCCTGAGAGCTGGCTGTACTGAATGCCCTTGGAATCGCTGTTTCCTCAGGTTTCCGGTTATTCTGTCTATTGAGAACCACTGCAGTATTCAGCAGCAGAGGAAGATTGCTCAGTACCTGAAAGGAATATTCCAGGACAAGCTGGACCTGTCATCTGTAGACACAGGAGAGGCCAGGCAGCTTCCAAGCCCTCAGAGTCTGAAAGGCAAAATCCTAGTGAAGGTAATGACATTCCCAGGCATTAACGATCAACCAAGTCTTTCCTCTCTATTGACAATAAATAAACAAATAAATAACTAAAGGGAAAATGATTAGAATCAATCAAATCAAAATGAAATATATCTGTCTGTGCATTTTATACTAATATATAGTCACACTTTCAGAGGTAAGTTATGGCTGATTGGGTGCTACGGATTTGTTTTGCTGGCTGTCCTTGCCATGCAAGCTATTTTAGTCTGAGAGAGTTCCCACAGAGAGGTGTGTGTGACGGAGTGAAGCGCAAGAGAGGAGAAAGCTCTCTGACTTCATGTCTGAAGGCATTCTGTTTAGATTCTTTTCTTCCATTTCAAGCTCCAATAACTGTCTGTCAAAAGGGAAAAAAATCTTCATGGTTGGCTGGTCTTGGTTATGTGTGTGAGAAGCACTCACTTCAGACAGGAACATGGGCACAGACATAATGCCCCCCAGGGCCCGTGTTTGCGAGAGGAGAGGGGGTGAGTGGAGTGGCTGGCGTTTTACCAGCAGATTTTCTAAGGGAGAAAACTTGCTGTAGTGAACATCATTAATGCAAACGATGGTCAGAAAGACAGTTCTTTGAGTTCTCGGATTTCCAGTGTTACGAAGTCACTTATCACCAGTGAATGTTTTCTTTGGACTAAAATATTGGATGGTTACCTGTCTTAGAGTTTGAAAAGGTAAAGAGCAGAGGAGTAGTGCCATGGTGGAGAGAAAAAATAAGAGCCCATTGTAGGGTAGAACTCTAGGAAAGAAAATGAGCTATTTAGAGGCATCAAAACTGTTTTTCCAGCAATTCAATTGTTAGTATAGATGCAGAGTCCATCAGAATGGTGTTATCAGGCTCTTGTGTAAGAGCATTTTGAATAAAAGGTGCTGATACCATGACAGGAATATTCAGAGCAATTTACCCAAGTCTGGCCAGAGGTAACTGCTATGTTAAAAACTGGTTTGTGCATTCAGAATTGAAGTGTTATCTTTATAATACTGTAAATACTTCACACTCCTTACTCATGCTGATGCATGCAGTGGCTCATTCTTTTAACTCCAGCATGCGGGAGGCAGAGGTAGGCAGATCTCTGTAAATTTGAGGTTAGTCTGATCTGCATAGTATGTTCTAAGCCAGCCAGAGCTGTATAGTGAGACTGTGTCACAGAAAGAGAGAGAGAGAGAAAGAGAGAGAGAGAGAGAGAGAGAGAGAGAGAGAGAGGGAGAGAGAGAGAGGGAGAGAGAGAGAGAGGAGAGAGAGGAGAGAGAGAGGGAGAGATTTGGTATCCCAGGGCCTTTGGGGTACCAGAATATATTAGGTAGAAAGTCTGAGACAGTCTTTGGCAGGAGTGACAGCATTATGAGCTATGGGCATCCCCAATGCACTTGAGAGTCAGTATTGACTCTCAATGCTGACTATTGATAATGTTTCTTAGAAGTTAAGGAAAAAGCTTGGCATGATAGTGCATGTCTTTAATCCCAACACTCAGGAGGCAGAGGCAGTGAGACTATAACGTTGAAAGCAACCTGTGCGATCTTCTATCTAAAAGAAAGTAAAGACTGAATATAAAGGCGAATAAAATTTGAAGACTGGCTGATGTGTTCCAGCACGCTCCCCTTTATAGCAAAAGCAGCACTGCTCTGGCAGAAGAAGAGCCTCCACCCCAGAGGCAGCGTGGGAAGCCTACTTACCACTCAGCAGGTCTACAAGTTGACCAACCAGAAGCATAGAAACAGTTATATCTACAAGGGGCGTACGTGTGTTCCTGAAAAATAAGCAAAAGGTTGCTTTGGAGCAAAATAACGTTTAGCAGCTTCCCCTAATTGCTATTGCCAAAAGGAGGGATTGCTCTTTCCTCTGAGGTTCCTCCACTTGTAGAGGGGATACAAGGGTGCTACCATTGCCGTGGGCCACACAGCAGAGAGTTTGAAACAGAGGTGTCCAGTAATATTTCCACATTTCATATGAATCAACTCAAGCTGGAAGTGGCAACACACACAGGGCCCGCACAGATTCAAGCTAGACAAGGTCCTAATTTTATTCTTTCTCTCTCTCCATGGCTAGCTGTAACCAAAGCACGTTAAGTTGATGCTCTTGGCAGGGCCCGGTAGTGCATGCTTCTAATCCCAGTACCTGGGAGACTGAGGCAGGATTGCAAGCACAAAACCTGACTCTGCTACAGAGAACAGGGTCTTGCCTCAAAACTAAAACCAAACCAACAACGTCCTTTTGCAATGCTTTTCTTCCTGCCTGGATAAAGTATCTTTGTGAACTAGGAATATGGAAAAGCTGGCCGAAAGATACATTAGAAAAAAAGCAAGGAGCTCCTCTAGTGGCTATTCTGTGATGGCAGCCTTTTGCTGTTATTCCTTCCTCCTCTGCCACCCTGAAGCAAAGGGGAACTGAGGTCTGTGCTGCTGTACTTCTCTTGCTTGGCTGCCGTGGCCCTCATGCCTCCTGTGGAGCTGGAATCAAATTACATCATTTAAGAGTAGTTATTCTTAACTTGGTGATGCTTTTGTGTTTATTACTTTTGTCCCACTGGGCATTATTTTAATGGATTTATTTTTGATGGTATTTTAAAAGAAAAAAAGAGTGCTGTCGGGGCATTTAATAGCTGTGAAGAGGTCTACTCTGGTCATTGTGCCCAGCAAAAAGTTGGTGGTGAATACATGAAAGATGGTGATATCACTCTGTCTGTGGTGGCTGAGTGTATCCGGCCACCACTTAAGTGGGTGCTTGCTGTATTGTCATAACAGCTCTATAAATACTCTCTTAAGTAAAGAACAATGAACTCATATTCTGGGAGCATTCTACATCAATAATACCTAAGTCATATTTATATATATTTGATCCTTCTAACTCTGAGCCGACCTGCTATAATTGGAGCTGGGGGTGGGGCTCCTAGTGGAATATGCTTGCCCAGCATGTGTGAAACTCTTGGATCAATTCCTGTCACCACCTAAAGTGGACTTTGTTGGTGTACAGCTGTAATTCCTGTACTAAGGAGTAGAGGCAGGAGGATCAGAAACTTAAGGTCCTCTTCAGCTGCAAAATGAGTTCAAGGCCAGCCTGTAATATATAAGACCTCGTCTAAAACAATGCACAAGTTCGTTTTGACCATTTGAGTCCCAGAAAGGCCGTTCTGTAAGTTGAAGAACGTATTTAAGTCTCCAAATCCTAAAAGCTTTATCTGAATGCAGGCTTTGCTTTTATTACATGTTTATAAAATCATCTTGAAATTATCATGGTGCTGAAGGCTAGGGTCAAGGACTTTGGGTGTATAGGGGCGTCCTGGACAGGGGCAGAACTCCCTCTTGCAATCTGAGAAGCGTTAATGTGCAACAATCAGTTATGAAGGACTTCAAAATGTCCTATCTTAGTTTTGAGTTAAAAACGTTAGATATTTGTTTTTTTTTTTTTTTTTTTTTTTTTAGCTTTTCTTAAAAGCGGCGGGGGGGGGGCATGATGCCTAAAAATGACCCATCAGATGGGTTTTCCTCTGTCATTGAAGAAAAAACGGGAGGAGGGGTCCAAACTGAGCCTGTCCTGCTTAGGACGCCTTTCCTGAGGCCACTGTGTGGCTTGCGAGGTTATAGGCAGTGCTCTCTGTCACTTACTGTTTTGCAAAGGGTACTTTTGCTGGATTAGTTCTGCCCCTGTGACTCCATTTGTGAGTATATTAGGTGTCTATGGCTGCATAGCAAATTGTCCCCAAATTTAGCAGCTTGAAGTGGCAGACGTTGTCCCCAAGTCCCTGATGGGTGTTCTGCTTAAACCTGAAGTGAAAGAATCACAGGGAGCTGCAGTTACCTCAAGGCAGACTGGGGAGAGGAGTGGGGGCAGGGAGGTGGCTGGATATGGGAGGAAAAGTAGGAATGTCAGTTCAGGAAGGGCACCCTACCTATCATTTTGCTCCATGTTTAGAAGTGGTCACTAGGTCCAGCCCACATTCAAGAAGAGAGCATTGTAGTAGGGCAGAGAAAAGAGCCCCTAGGAGACATTAGTGACACTTCGGAGGCTGCCAACAGCAGCCTCGGTCACTTGCCTCAGAGCCTGGTTCTGACCGCCCTTTCCCTACAGCATAGTCTAAGTACGACTCCATGTCGTCTTAATATTCCTTTCTGCTCTCAAGCCAGAAACCCACCAACGTAGATAACTACCTTAGAGCGTTCTCTTATCAGACCCCGGGTCTTGCCTTTTCATGGCTTTTTTCTTTTTTTCTTTTGAATATAAATTGAGAAATATACAAGAGGGAGGCAAAATCTATAGAGGTACTTACTCTTAACTTTTTATGTATGTGTATGCATGTGTGCACATGTGCATCTGTGTGTGTGCCTGTGGGACACAGTGGAGGTCAGAGGATAAACACAAGTATCCATGCTTCTCTTCCATCCTGTTTGGGGAAGCCCTGTGGGTTTCCAGCGGCTCCCCTGTCTCATCTTCCATCTTGACATAGAAGCCCCGAGATTATAGACACAGGCTAATGGGGCCCAACATCAGATCCTCATGCATGTGTAGTAAGCGTTTTACCCTCTGAGCATCTGCCCAGCCCTGGCTACTTATTCTTTTTTTTTAAAATTGATTTTATTGAGCTCTACATTTTTCTCTGTTCCCCTCCATGGCTCTCCCCTCCCCTTCAACCCTCTCCCATGGACCCCATGCTCCCAATTTACTCAGGAGATTTTGTCTTTTTCTACTTCCCATGTACATTAGATCCATGTGTGTCTCTCTTAGGGTCCTCTTTGTTGTCGAGGTTCTCTGGGATTGTGAATTATAGGCTGGTTTTCTTTGCTTTATTTTGAAAAACCACTTATGAGTGAGTACGTATGATACTTGTCTTTCTGGGTCTGAGTTACCTCACTCAATATGTTGTTTTCTAGATCTATCCATTTGCCTGCTAATTTCAAGATGTCATTATTTTTTTCTGCTATGTTGTAATGTGGATCAGGATTTTGTTCTTTTAAAGGGTTGAGTAATATTCCCTATGAGAAGAGCAGGTTTTGTGTGTCCATTCATCTTTCAACAGACACTTAGTTTACCTCTACTTTGGGGCTGTTAAGAACGTATTTGCATTTTCGAATAGGATGTTTTGATCTCTTTCAGGGCAAGAAGTTGCCATATCACCTTGGGGATGATGCGGAGGAAGGAGAAGTGTCTGACGAGGACAGCGCGGACGAGATTGAAGACGAGTGCAAGTTCAAGCTACATTACGTGAGTTGCTGGCACAGGGCCCTTTGTGCCCTTCATGTACTTAAGGAAGAAGGGGGCCCCTAGTGGTGCCGTGTTGGACATTCCACACATGGCACATGACACACTCCACAATATAGTATCTGTAATGCGAAAGGATGTTCTTAGCTCTCTGTGTGCTGGCACCCAGCCGCGTGGTGCGAGGGTGAGTGAATGGAAGAGTCTGTGCCTTAGAACTGAGGGTATGTTAGCAGTGAACCCTTCTATTCTAGGGGCTTTATCATGTGAACAGACACCATGACCACTGTAACTCTTATAAAGGAAAACATTTTTTTTTTTAGTTTTGTTTATTGCTTTGAGGTAACTTTTTTTCTTTTGCTTTCTTTTTAAATTAAGTTTTTTTTTTTTTTTTTTAAATACAATCTTGGGCTGGAGAGATGGCTCAGCAGTTAAGAGCATTGCCTGCTCTTCCAAAGGTCCTGAGTTCAATTCCCAGCAACCACATGGTGGCTCACAACCATCCGTAATGGGGTCTGGTGCCCTCTTCTGGCCTGCAGGCATACACACAGACAGAACATTGTATACATAATAAATAAATATTTTAAAAAAATACAATCTTTTCTCACTTTACATAGCTATCCCTGTTCCCATTCCCTCCTCCCCACCCTTTTCCTACCCCCACCCCCCTCTGTGCAAAAGATCAGTGTTTTGACTCGTGGGAGTGAGGGAGGGGTTGCAGTTTGAACCTGCAGAATTCTAAGGCTCGAAGAAATGCTGTCCCTGTTACTGTCAATGGTCACATGATTTCTGGTGCCACATGATAAGCCCAAAGCAGTGCAGGCTTTGCTGTGTAGTGTCATTTCTACAGAAAAGTGGCACTTCGTGGACATCAGAACCATTATTCTGTCCCCAGATACATTTTGTATAATCTCTCCTAATATACACTATTATCCTGAATTCAACAATTATGTTGTTACAACAAGACACTATCTTCTAAATTACAGTCACTCTGATGCCTCACCTCTGAGGTGGCAGCCGGAACTGCCATTATTTTCAAAGGAGACAAGAACTTAATGATAGCTGAAATCTTCATAGACATTTCTTTCATGGCTTTTAACATGCTTTGAAAAGGGGAAATGGCGAAGATTCAGATGGAACAGAATGAAAATTGTGATCTGAATTCATCCCTTCCCTCTTAGTAGTTTCTAGTTAAATATCTGTAACTAATAGGTCACAAAAACTTACATAGTTTCATAACTGAAAATATAGTAACTACATTAGTTTTTTAAAAAATATATTCTTTTCTAGGTATTTGCTATCTTTGTAACTGGTATCTTCTGGTTGTGGATAATTTAAGTCTTATTTAATAAACCTAGCTTTTCTGATTCCCTTTCTTGTGCCTCTAGGTCCTTCAGAGCTCTGGGTTACTAGCTACATAGTCTACCATCTGCGGAGGACGCAGAAGCTGTGCTTATTACCTGTGTGGGGAATGCTGTTCTGTGAAACTGGGAGGTGGTAGCTTCAACCACTGTTACCATGACAAATGTAGACATCTATTGCAGTGTGCAATCAAAGCTGATCTAGTTCTTAGGCCCACTTGGCTGTATAAATTTTTCTTTGCTCCCATTGAGACTTTTTTGTGGTACTCGGGGTTGAATCCAGGTAAAGTCAAGTACTTTACCATTGAATATGTCACCAGGCTTCTTTTGACTTTTTATCTTGGGATACATCCTCACTTTGTTGCCAAGGCTGGCCTTGAACTTACTGATCCTTCAGAAATAGTTGGATATCAGCTAACGTCACCATGGTTGACAAAATTCTATTTTCTATAGATGTCTATAAATTTATTTATTTTCTATAAATGTTTGTGGTTATGAAATTTCACTGTAGACACAGTTCTGTGAAAACAGAGTAATATTTGTACCAGGGTTCTCTGCTTATGCCCATAGTCTCCTGGCTGCTTTCTAGGCTCTGGTATGGATCAGTGTTTTAGAATGTGTCTCTACAAAGAGAGTCATGACCATTCATTTGGCCTGAGTAGAGTTACAGAGCGCCCCATTTAAAAGGCTTTACAGAGACTTCCTTGTCATACATTGGAGAAGAAACTGTGTTAACACACACACACACACATACACACACAAAACACTTAACATTTTCAGTAGAAATATATAAAGTTTTTATGCAACCTTTATTTCTCTATTTTTAGCTCCTCTGAGAAGTGAGAATTTAGAATTTGAGAGTATTTTATTGTAACTAGTCAGTTTATATCCACATCAATGTAGCAGATTTAAAGATGGTTGATCATATTTCTACAAAACTTAGTGCAGTGTAGGTTGGTTATATGAACCAGTCATTACCCACAAAGCCATTTCTATAAAGGAAGTCCTTTATCTCAGCTGTAAGTTGAAAGTACATGGTTAGGTTTTATCAGCCGTATCTTAATCAGTGTAATACCGAAAGCTTTTTATCCCAGTTCATGGACACCAGACCATAAACTTTCATGATCTTCTTAAGATAGTTTATGCATGTCACCATCTTTTACTGGGCATTTCCTGTTGGAGCTGCGCCATCACTGTTGGTGTTAGATGACACTGGGGTGGATAAAACAGATTGAAGATTCCTGGGGTTTAAACATTAGTGAAAGAGAAAGGAGACAGATAAGAAACAAGGCAAACAAGTAAAATATTTGGTATGTTAGATATACGTGCGAAAGGAAAAAGTTGTGTGTGTGTGTTGAATTTTTAAAGGGGGTGTCTACATAAAACTTTCCTTAAAAGTTACATTTAACTAAATATCTGAAGAAGAAAAAAAAAAGAATTAGCTAGTTTAATATATGGGGAGAAAGTTGCAGGCAGAATGAACCCCAAGGCCAAGAGTAGGGCAGGTGTAGCGGCTCACCCAACTGAGCAGGATGCAGGCTTTCTCCTAGTCCGTCTGCTGTTCAAACCCCATGACGTTTCTTGCTTATGCGATGAATGTCTTCTGCTATGCTTGGCTCGTCTAAGCTTCTGTTTTGTATTACTTTGTAGCCTCAGCCACAGGGAAAATCTGGCTCATGATGTGTAAGCCACAGGGTAAAGCCAGTGTGCTCAGTGACCCAAGAATCACAGCTCAGCGACGTAAGGGACAATTTCCTCCCAGCCGCAGTACAGTAATCTAGCAGATTTGATTCCAGGCAGTCCGATCATTGTTATTCACAGTTATCGGACCCCCTGTGCCAGGGGGCGGCCCAGACTTCTCACTCCTGAATTTCAACTCCTTTGGTTATTTTTTTCTCCCTCTGTTGAGCTTTTGAGTTATTTTTCTTAAAACTCTCTCAGTCTGTGTTTAGCCAGTCTATTGGGCACAAACAGCAGCTTTCTCTTGCTTGAAGTTCATCCCACAAACACCAAGCCTACCAGCACCAATTGAGCCCCAGTACAGCCCATTGTACCCCATTATTCTGTACACTATTATCCATTCTGGCCCTCGCTGAACATTTTAATCATTTTCCCCTTCCCACAACTATCGTTGCAACTTCATCATCTTTCCTTCGAGACATTTTAAGAAGACTTGTGAGCGCCGTCAGTCTCAAACATAACAGCACTCATAGAATAGATGAGCTGCCTCTTGGGGCTCTGGGGTCTTGCTACTCCTCTGTCCACTCTGCCAAGCAGCAGGTCATATCCTAGCAACAAGTTACAAGGACTAATGAGGTGGCATGGGAGATTCCAGTTCTTTCTACTCTGTGATACGATTCTTGAACAGAAGCACGTTCTATGAGAAGCAAAGGAAATGGCAGGAGAAGGCCTAAGTGAATGCAGACTCATCTGAAAAGCAGCTGTCCTTCACCTCGTGTCTTCAGGAAATGGGCTTGAAGCTATATAAGGCAATCGAAGGAGCAGCTAATATATTTTCTTCCTGTTGCCAAAGTCTGGTACTAAGCAGGGAAGAAAAGGCATTGAGGGATGTAGAGATGGCCCCGTATCTTGTTTTCTGGCTTTGTTTTCAAAGAGAAGGCCCCCAATTTCAGCTGAAAAGTGATATGGCAAGGAGCTTTTAGGGGTGCTAACACCTTTGCCCTAGCCCAGAGATTGTGTCTTGCCCACTGCTCTGGTGACACCAGTGTCTAGTGTCTCCAGCTCCTTTCTAGACTGGTATGGGACAGCCTTCTTTCTGGAATGGTACTCTAGGGAAAATGTGCTGGGGGGGGATGAGAATGTGTTTGTGATTCATTTATTAATTGATTGATGGATGGGTGACAGAGCTTCCTAGATGGCACTCATTCTCTCAGAGAACCGAATCAGGGAGAAACCGCTGCTGACCATGTTAAATGACAATACTCCTCTTCCCACAGCAGCCCACTCCCTCTGGCCCAGGGAACAAAAGGATGAGACACACAGGACTCTCAGCTCTGGTCTCTAGCGCAGCCGCACGTGGCAGATAGGTCTTGAGGTCAGCCGCCTGTCTGAATTGTCTTTCAACCAGTGCTGTTAGAGTCTGGGACTGAATGCTAACACAGGAATGAAACCTCAGCTGCGGGCTCCTTTGTTCTTTGTGGCTGCAAATCTTGTCGCGATGAAAATCAGAGAAAAAGAAGGAAGAGATCACCAGGCAGGGCTCTCATTCCTTTGGCAAATCCCCACTTTTAGAGGACGTGAAGGGAATACTAAGTTCTGTGTCAGGCGCTTGTTTTTCCACCAGCCCTGGCCGTCCTGGACTTCATAGCGTTAGCCCTGCTCTTCTGATGTGCCCACAGTTCAGCTCTCCATCGTTTTCTGCTTCTGCGAGGCCAGGAGCAAGGAAAAGAAGTGGTGCAGGGAGCCCTCTTTGCTTGGCTCTGGCCTCCTAGGTGTTCTAGCAAGCTTTCTCTTGCAAGCTTTCTCTTTCCTTCTCCACAGCCCCCCCCTCCCCCACGCCCAGGAACACCTGATCAAATACGCTAGTAGTAAGAGATCTTACAGCTCTTCTGTGGGCTCCACTCATGGCCTTAAGTGAAACACACTCAAGTTTCCTGCAGAGAGATTTCAGACTATTTTCCACGTTTTACAATAGGAACGGCGGTTGTTTAGAATGCGAGCCAACTCAGCACCAGCTAGACGCCAAAAATTCATCTCGTTCTGCCTGCCACGGTGTGAGAGAATGGCTGCTGCATTGCTGGAGAAGTGCCCCGGCTAGTCTCCGTGTCAGATTCCTAGGGCCGTGCTCGGATGAGCTCCCGAGTCTTTCCTCAGTCTGTGTCATTACCAGTGGTTCTCGACAGGTCCTCGTGCGTCCCTTAGAGGGTGTCGAGTGGTTCAGATAACATGCTGCTGGAGGACGCTGCTTTGTAAGGTGGCCTGGCACAGGGACATGCTTGTGCTTGCCAGACAGGCGCACTGTGTTGTTTTGAGCTTTGACTTAATACATTTTACAGATACTGCGCTTTCAGCCTGTGCATGTGCTGCGGTGTTGCACTGAAAACGGGACATCAGCTCAATTTTCCCTCCACAACATGTGCTTATATTGTGTGTCTGGCACAGTTTTGTATCCCCCCATACGTTAAGCTTTATGATTATATTGTCATTATATATGGCGATCTCTGATTTTTGATGTTGGTATTTTCATTGGTTTGGGGGGGGGGCTTCCATAAACTCACCTAATCTGTTAATATGTGTATTCTGATCTGTTCACTAACTTGCCATTCATTCCTCAGGTCTTTTTTTTTCTTTTTTACGCTTGGGCTTTGCCAGTCCCTGATACAGAACAGTATTGAAAGTAGGTTAATCAATGGCCTTACAGTGGCCCCCAGCTGCTCAGGCAAAAGGGAGAGTTGCGAGCCTCTCTCTTTAAATCAAAGCTGGAGAGGATGAATCTCAGGGACAAAGAGGCAGACACTGACCAGCCGAAGGCAAGGCCTCCCATGCTAAACAATTGGCCCAATTGTCAATACAAAGGAAAAGGTGAAGGAGATTAAAGGTGCTACTCCAGTAAACACACAAATGGGGAAAAAGTGAAGCCGACCTACAGCTGATAGCATACAAGGCTTTAGTGGTCTGGATAAAAGATAAACTAACCACAACATTCCTGGATGCTGAAGCCCAAATAAGGGCAAAGTCCTAACTCTCTTCTGTTAAGGATCTTGAGAGGAGAATGTCCTGGGCTTGTGGTAGGCTTGAATTCAGTGCTAAGTGTTCTCAGAAGAGGAGGAGGCCAACAGATGGGTCCACATAGGCAAAGAGGATGTGAAGACACAGGTAGAGAGCTGTGCTCTCAGAAGCCAGGGAATGCAGGGAGCTGCTGTAAGTGAGGAGAGGCCAGGACCCAGAGCTCCAAAGGGACCGTGACCCTACTTTGCTCCAAACTTTTGCCCCCCAGACTAATGAGAAAATGAATTTGTTTCAAGCTGCTAAATTGGAGTCATTTCCTACAGCTGTCACAGGAAATCGATGGTCTTTTCTTTTAAGATCTATTGCTTCATGCTTCTTCAGTCCAAGAAGCTGAATTCCCAAGGTAGGTGGCCTGCCCTCTTCTGTGCCCCGGTGGTACCCCATAGGCCTGACTCATACTGACTTGTTTGAATAGTTCCCCATGCCACCAAGAACTGTGACAGTGGGTTGATCCTTATTAGTATGTGTCACCCAGCATATGGCAGAGATTCGGTACAAGTCTGTTTTAATCAAAATGAGTTTCCCCCCTAAACTCTCTGTGATCTATGCCCCCAGCATCCTTGCCTGTGTACTAATTAATTCCATGGTAACCACTGTGCCTGGATTTTCATCTGCAGACTCCTGGCCCCCTTTGGCAGATGCTCACCGACTGCTGTTGTTCCTAAAGTACTATTTATGCAGAATTCTGACTGCCCCATCTTCTGGCTTTCAAATCCCTTCAGTCCCCAAAGTCCTTGCCTTTCCTCTGAACTCCTCCAGCTCTAGGCCATGACTGATCCATTTAAATCCTTTGTTTAGACTGGGTACCACAGGGAAGCCCTTCCCTTCCTCACTGTCGGAACACTTAGCTCTCTGGTCGGATCTTGTCTCTGGCACCATCTCTGCTACCCAGTAGGAATGGCGTGTCCTTTCTAGCATCTCTGTGACTGGCAGGCTATGCTTGTTCACTTCTGAACTCCAGTGCAAACTCTTTGTGTCTCCTTCAGAGCCTGATTCTATCATGGGTGGAATGCATTGTTAATTGGACATTTTAAACACACTAATGTAGGTTTTATAAGTACAGGGAAATGTATCAATCCATCCTGGCAAAGGTGTTCTTTTTTTTTTAATTTTCTATGTTTATTTTGCCTTGCTCTTATAGGATTTTGTGAAATATATTCAGAAGTAGAGGGCTATCTATTCCGCAGGGGTCAGATAGGTGCACCTCCTAGTAATATTCCCACAATAGTGTGGGAATTGTTCTTGTGGAATGGTACGACTCCCTGCATGCCTGGAGCAGGTTGCTCTTTGGCAACCCGTTGAATAATCTGTGGAGCAGATCTGGACAAAGGGAGAGGCCATGCAGTTAAACAGCAAAGGGCAGTGCACACAGCCTGGGGCCACTGGCCTGTGAGAGGACACGGGGGCTGTGTGAGATTCCATGTGAGGTACTGGCATTGCTTTGTTTCCCCGAAAGCCTTGAAATTGGTTGTGATTTTTAAAATAATCATAATCAAAGGTGATGGCCCAAGTCAATATTGTGGACCTGCTAATGATGTCAAGGCGTTGGAGATCAGAAAGAAATTTTGTCTCAGAATCGTCAGCAACCTTGGAAACTCCCTTAGCATTTTTTTTTTTTTTTGCCTCTCAGTGAAGTACTTTTAAAAATAGTACTTTTGCTCAATTGTAACAATTGCTCTATGTAGGTTTAGAAAGCTTCATCTCCTGAAGGGTCCCCTGGCTTGCCCTCTGGGGAAAGTGTAGAACATCAAGAGGGGATGGTTTAAAATCTTTCCTCACTTACTGGCTACCTCTGTAAACCTCCAACAATTTGCTTAACTTCTCAAGGCCTCAGAATCCACATCATTGAAATGAAGTAGAATAAGACTTTGTGTGAACAGAGCTGAATACACATATAGCCAATGAAGGGCAGCTGACTGAGATGGGGGTTTTTGGTGAGGGGGTTCAAAATTGTTCAACGAGTATCTTACTATCTTACAGGTGACCGAGAGATCATGAGATTATAAACTCAGTGTTGTCTTGGGCAGAAGGCATCTTCTACAGGAGTCTGTTTCTCGGGGGATTGTTTATATTATTATTTTTTTTTTCAGAGTAATGGGACCACTGAGCACCAGGTAGAATCTTTCATACGGAAAAAGCTGGAATCATTGTTGAGGGAGTCTCAAATTCGAGACAAAGAAGATCCTGACAGTTTCACAGTGAGGGCTCTACTCAAGGCCACACATGAAGGCTTAAACACCCACCTGAAGCAGGTAAACAATCTCTCTTGAACGCTCCCCTCGCCAAGGGGGGAAAAAAAACAGACCCTCCTCTTCGGTTTCTAAGCACCTTTTCTTTGTGAAATGCTCCTCAAATGTCTCTGTCTATCCTTGTAAAGTCTGAGCAATAAAATCCTTGGGCAAAGTAAGTGAGGATGTGTGCAACACATTTAGCGTTGTCCTGGGCACAGAAAGTACCAACTCGGGTCAATGACTTTGATCTCAGATTGCCCGAGACAGCTCTGCTCTGTGTTGTCGACCTGGTGTCCTAAATATGCCCAGTTTCTCTCTTTAAATCATCTTAGTTGGGACAATAAGTGACAGGGTCCTCCTACCAATTAATACCAATTAACTCTTAGAAGTACCAAAGAACTCACAAGTTAAGTGGCTCACTATTCTCCTGTTTATCGGATGAGAAAATGGAGTCCAAGAGAAGGGCCATGGCTTTGGCGATAGTACTGTTTCTCCTAGCTTGGATAAAGTAGTTTCAATTCTATGACCAGTATCCAGTGTAGCTACCTTCCTAATCCATACGCTTTGAACAGTTAGTGGTCAGGATTACTAGGTCTTCATAGGCAATGTACACACATAAAGTAGTCAAGGGTGAGTCAACATCCCCCCATAAGCCCCTGGTTCTTACCCCTCACCAATTTTTGGGTGGGTTTTCATACCAGTCATCTCCTGGGCTCTTCCTTGCCATGTCTTCCATGAATTACTTTTAATATCATCTGTCTAGGGCTGGAGAGATGGCTCAGTGGTTAAGAGCATTGCCTGCTCTTCCAAAGGTTCTGAGTTCAATTCCCAGCAACCACATGGTGGCTCACAACCATCTGTAATGGGTCTGGTGCCCTCTTCTGGCCTGCAGACATACACACAGACAGAATATTGTATACTAAATAAATAAATAAATATTAAAAAAAAAAATCATCTGTCTATGGCTTTAGTAGACACTTCTTGCAGCTTCTTTATTTTAAGGGGCTTGCTTACTTAGCTTTGTTCTATTGGTGAGTTTCTCTCTGTTTAGCTGCAGTCCTTGGTGGGTGGGGTCTGCAGGTCTCCCCACAATGAATTTCAGGGACAACAACCCTTTCAACAGGGGACATTTCTGCCCCCACTCCACATGTGGGCTAACACAGGAGGAGACTTGCTCATCATCTCTTCCTGGAAAATGAACCCACGTGAGGAGTCTTCAGAGGCTCAAATTCCACTCCCTGGTGCTGGCTACTAGGGCAATGCTTTCAACGCACAGATATGCATCACAGTGATTTCCTTAAATGAATGAAAGTGTTATGACTGGCTTTTATTTATAATATTTTAAAATCCCCAACAACAGTGTTCAGTGTGAGAATTTTCTATATTTAGCAGCTTGGGCTACACAGCAAGATGCTACCTTAAAAACAAAACAAAGAATGATTAATGTTGATAATTTTTCTGACCCAGTTTTGACACATGTTATACATGAGACTCTGGCTATCACACCTAGAATCTACTTCCATCATGCTATTTTGTTTCATGTTTTGTATGTTTAAGATCTTCAGAGATCAGCCCCCGGTGGCTTCATACCTGCCCCCTATGCAAGTGAACTATGGCTCGCTTAATCACTGTTTAGACTGAACAGTTGGTTTATTTTTCTTGTCGCTGTAACTAATGTCCCTAAATTATCCTACTTATGGACATGAAATTCCAGACAGAGCATTCTTTACAATAGTAGAGAGGGTCTCACCGAAACCCTCAGATAGTGTTAAGTGGCTATTTTCCAAAATTAAAATGCCTCTTAACCAGAAATGATCATCTCTGCCTGGGACATTCAGAGCACCGCTTCCTGGTCTTAGGCACATGGTGAATAGGGATGGAAGCCATGGGCTGATGATGCTGTATTCTGGCAGCCCTGACGGTGTCTCCCTTCCTTGCATCAGACAGACACAGTCACGTTTGAGATGTCAAAGATGTGAAGTACGAAGAAATGAACCAGGGAAAGAGAAGAGAGGGTCCCTAGGGCACCTGCCAGAGCTAAGCAGGATGAAAAGAAAGAAAAATCACTACACTATGGTTTTTATTTAAGCAGAACCTGGACGTGAAGGAAAGTGGAAAGAAGTCCCATGGGCGATCGCTGATGAGCAACTTCGGGAAACACAAGGTACATACGTAGTGATGGTCGTTAATGTGTGGTATTCAGCTAATTTAAAGATTCTATAAGTACCAGGGTAACATTGTATTGTAATAACCTTGGGATGGCTGAAGGTTTTGTCGAAAGGACTTCTGAAGGAGAGAAGTTTGAAATTTAAACAACCTTGAAATTTAGAACCGCTATTAATCAAAAGGATCAAAAATCAAGTTGCATTTTAGAGGTTTTTTTTTTTTTAAATGCACATATCCAACAAAGAACTCATATTCTATATACTTGAATCATTTCTACAGGTAAGAAGACAGGCAGTTCGAATTTCCAAAAAAAAAACAAAACCAACCAGAAGTTTAAATGTGCCCATTACAAAGGCAGTCAGCACGGGAAAGAGGCACTTGGCAGGGAAGTGAGGCTCTCCTTTGGAGTTATCTGGAAGTGAAAACTGCGTAAAAAGAGCACAGAGACCAAGCGTTTCAGTGCTGAGCAACATGTACTCCCTCTGCTGAGGTACAGAAACCACTGTGTGACCATCTCACCTCTTAGCAGTTCCACTGTTGGGTTTACGACCAGGACAGAAACCACAGTTTCACAGTGGCATTTGCAATGGGACAAGTAGCGAACAGCCCAAATGCTCCTTAACTATAGAACCAACTAAAACGTGGCAAATTCACATCCGGTCTGTTGAACAGCCACAGAAAGAACACAGTTATACCTATGTGCCATGATAAGATCTTTCAAGCATGATCTGAGCTAAAGAAACATGCAGTGAGAGTATCTTTATGTATTTAAATTTAAAACCCTGTAAAAATGCTGTAGGGTAGAAATCTGGGTAGGTATTAAGGGTCATTGTTACCTGTGAGGGGAAAGTAAGGACCAATGGGAGGATGTGGAGGATTCTAGAAAGCAGGCAGGATTCGACTTCCTCATTGGACTACTTTCAGTTTGTGGAAACCATCATTTGGTACACATAAAACTGCATACTTGTGCAGATGTATGTGCTACCTCAATAAAGAGGTGAAAATTTTATATAAGATATCAGTCACTGGGCCTGTGAGATGGCTCAGCGGATCCAGTGTGTGGTCTCAAGCCTGGTGACCTGGGTTTCTCATGACCTACCTGGTGGAAAAAATTCAAGTTGCTCTGACAGTTTGTCCTCTGACATCCACTTGTGCGCTGTGGCATGCGTGTGTGAATGTGCATCCACACACACATGCACACATGAACTAAATGAAATTTTAAAAATTAATAAAGGAGATTGGTTATTAGGTGATGATTGTAACACTAGCTGAGGGTTTTGGTGAGACCTTTTCTACTATTGTACGGGATGCTCTGTCTGGAATTTCATGTCCATAAGTAGGATAATTTAGGGGCAGTAGTTACAGCGACAAGAAAAATAAACCAACTGTTCAGTCTAAAGAGTGATTAAGCGAGCCTTGGTACACTTGCATAGGGGGCAGGTGTGAAGCCGCTGGGCTAATCTCTGAAGATCTTAAACATACAAAACACGGAACAAAACAGTGTGATGAAAATAGAGTCTAGGTATGATTGCTATAACCTCATATATATCATGTATCAAAACTGTGCCAGAAAAATTATCAACATTAATCATTCTTTGTTTTGTTTTGTTTTTGATGAAGCATCTTGCTGTGTAGCCCAGGCTGGCCTTACACGCCCACTGCCTCCAGGCTGGCCTTACATGCCCACTGAACCTCCTGCCTCTTCCTCTCAAGACCTTGGATTACAGATGTGCGCCAAAACACTGCCTTTAGTTATTAACTTCTTTTTATATCTTATAATAAAAATATATCTTCTGAGGAAAATATTTCAGAAGAATTTCAGCTACCAAAGAGTGAACATTTTCACACATCTGGTGATAACAGTAGGCTGCCCGTGAGGTTGTTTATGAATTAATTTAGTAAGTACCAATAATAATTTACATACAAAGTTGAAGTCAATGCATTACAAAATGGTTTTCTATGTCTGTCATTTAATCATTGAAATAATAATAATAATAACCCTGTAGAATAGTAGTGTTTACACAGTATGTTTAAGATATGGCAGGAAACCTGATGGAACTTGCGACTTTACCCGCTTGGTGAAAAACTAACCTAGAACGAGAGTTTGAACAGTAGGGTTTCCGTGTCTGAAGTTCTCAGAATGAAAGCAATTCTTGAGAAGGTTCAAAGTCGCTCATCACCCTTGGTGTAGTGGGCATCTTGTAGCTGGTCTTCAGTTTGGGGGAATGAGAAAATCTGGAAGTTGATGTGAGCCTGTGATGACTTGGGGATAGTGTTCATTTCCAGGGTCACGTTCCTCCGATGTCCAAAGTATACCGTCTAGATGGTTAACCTTGGTAGGAGCTGTTTGTTTGGTCTCAAGGTTTTCTGCAATGACTGGGGGCTCCATCATTTGTTATGTTGGGTTTTGTGCAGCCTAAATAGTCTCCAGTGTGAGAATGAACTCCCTCCTCCCCCAAGAAAAAAAAAATCTGTCCAGAAGACGCTAGATTAATTCTGGAGACTTTAAGCTCATGTGCTATGAATAGTAATTTTTATTTTACTTCTAGAATGTTAAATGAGCTATAAACTCAAAAGAGCAGTTTGATTTACATAATAACTATTTGAGAATGTGTTGATGGAAGGTAGAATGTCGGTCATTCTGGGGTTTTTTTTTGTTTTATTTTTTGTTTGTTTGTTTTTGTTTTTGTTTTTTTTTTTTTTGATTTTCGAGACAGGGTTTCTTTGTAGCTTTTTGGTTCCTGTCCTGGATCTAGCTCTTGCAGACCAGGCTGGCCTCGAACTCACAGAGATCTGCCTGCCTCTGCCTCCCAAGTGCTGGGATTAAAGGCGTGCGCCACCACCGCCCGGCGGTCATTCTGTTTTTTAAAACCAAATTTGCCTTTTATCACTTATCAATAGTAAGCTTCTATATAAAAGGACATTTTCCCTTATAATTATTTAAACAGATACTTTAATTTTGGCTTTCTCTCTCTTTCAAAGTACGCAACGAATATAATATTTCTAAGATGTCAGTTTTCTGTGGCTTATTTTAGGCATGAAACTCAAAGTTTTGCATTGCTAGTGTAATATAATGATTGTTATTGATTATTCTTTCTGTACATGCTCACACATGCACAGACACCTGTGCATATGCGTGTGTGTGTGTGTGTAGGTGTGTGTGCATGTGAAAATTTAGTCCAATCTCTGTATTTTGTGAATGTGCCTAAAGTGGTGAGTTAATAAATTTACTATGACTCTTCCAGCAGAAAACTACAAAGTCACGTTCTAAATCCTATAGTACCGACGACGACGAGGAAGACATATTTCAGAATCCTGGCAAGGAGGGAGGCCAGCTGTACAGGTAAGAAAGCATCTCCGTGCCTGTTGCTCTGACTCCCACGGCCTCTCCATCCTGTGGTCCTAGCTGTTTTAGTTGTGCATGTCTGGAGACTGGGGGGGGGGGGGGGGGTCACAAGGTGAGGTACTGGAGGGAAATGTGAAGACCAAGGTAGAGATACTGTGTGGAGGGATTATGGCATCAGTGAGGTGCTGAACACAGGCTAGAGGCAGGAGTTGTCAGGTGACAGTTGTCTTCAGAGAAGGGGAGGGCTCTGCAGATGTCGGACTGCAGAGGACTGGAAGGACAGGATAAACGCATAGCTGGAGCCAGATAACAGGTATTACTCGTCCACCAGCCATCGTAAATACTGAGCAAGGTGAGATTTCCATCTTGTGGGGTCATGAAAGGAGTAAAGGAATTAAATTGCATATTAGCACGGTAGATCCCAACCCCATTAAAGAAATGCTCAAAACTATTAGCTCCTATTTTTATTATTATTATTATTAGTTTTTTCGATTATTATTATTATTATTATTATTATTTGTTTTTTTCAAGACAGGGTTTCTCTGTGGTTTTGGAGCCTGTCCTGGAACCAGCTCTTGTAGACCAGGCTGGTCTCGAACTCACATAGATCCCCCTGCCTCTGCCTCCCAAGTGCTGGGATTAAAGGCGTGCGCCACCACCGCCCGGCTCTATTTTATTATTTTTAACAACTTTACACATATACAATGTATCATGGTTGTATCTACCCATTATTACCCTTTTCCTGATCCTGCTCACTTACGTCTTCCCAGCATGGCCTCCTCCTCCTCCTCCCTTCATATCTATGTTTGGACCCACTGAGATGAATTAGGGTTAGTGTTGTAGGAAGCTGCTTGTTTGTTCCTGGCCACTCAGACTACTGAAATAATCACACAGAAATCTATATTAATTGTAATGCTTGAATTTTGCCTTTATTTCTTTATTAATTAAACCTGTTCTTTCACCATTCCATTCACGTATATAATGAATTCTGTGCTCTTGCTCCCTACCCTCCCTCTCTTATCTTCCTTCCACCCGCATCTGCTCTCCCTTCTCCCTATAAATCTCTTCCCCATTTGTATCCTTTTGTTTTGTGACCTGCTGAGTTTAAACAGGCCCACCTGGATGATCAAGGGTTTAGAAGTAGCCATTGGAACCCGGTGGGCTCACTAACAGGTACAGACCTAAGGCAATGACTCCTCCCCTAGAATCTATTAGTAGCCATAGTTCAACAGGGAGTAGTAAGGCCCCACAAGCTCCTCCTTCATCCATGATTGACTGTTGACCAGGCCAGTCTTGTGCGGGCTCGGTGCAGATACTCTCAGCTGCTGCTAATGATGATGATGATGGTGATAAGGGCTGTGTCAGACTCAGAAGGTGACATTTCAGTCTTCTCCCTGTCTTCTGGCTCTTACATTCCAGTTTCTCCCTTTTCTGCAGTGTTTGCTGAGCCTTAGACTGGGAGGTCAAAATGTCTTATTTAGGACTGAGCGCCGAACCATCACTTACTCTCAACTCTTCGAATAGCCATGAGTCTCTGTATTCTTCATTATTCACTGCAAAGAGAGGCTTCTCTGGTTAAGGCTGGGAATAGCATCTGTCTATTTATAAAAGTAGATAATTAGAAGGCAGTTTTGAGCTATGTCAGTTTATCTAAAAAACAGTAGTACGCTCTTCCCTAGGGTCTATGACTTCACCAGCCGCCTGGGTTGGGCTGGTTTTACAGTACCATGCATGGATTCTCTCCTGTTGAGAGGGTCCCAACTTCAACCAAACAGCAGTTGGTTACCCCCATAGTGGGCACACCTAGCTAGGCAAGTTGGCATTATAGTTCTTAGTGCTCACAACCCTAAGGCCGTTGATACCTTTTCTCCCCCAGCAACCTGTATAGCGCCCCTTGAAGCACTAAGAGAGCTAGCTGACTGGGAGGAAACTGCCTACTCCACTCCAGATTTATTTATGTTTCTTGCAACCAATGTGTTTGGTGTCCTCAGCAACGGTGTCTTATCCTCTAGTCCGGGCAGACAACCAAGAGAAGTGCTAAGAGCCTGTATTGTGTGGGAAGTTTCTGGGGCCTTCCTTAGCCAACAGTTCACATGAAGGCATCCCGCACCCAGGACTGTCATTTTTGCCTACTTACTCATGACTTCTAGCTATGACATTATCTACCATTTAGGCCATGTCCCTACTAACTCCTTTTTAAAATAGAATTATTTAGTTAGCTTATGAAATAGGTTTCTTTAAAAAGATTTTAAAATTATTCTCTGTGTGCATGCGTGCACACACACGCATGCACGCACATGTCACAGCTTGCATGTGGAGGTCAGAGAACAGCCAGTGCAAGTTACTTCTTTCCCTCCACAATGTGAGTCCTGGCATTCCAACTCAGGTTGTCAGACATGGTAGCAAATGCCTTTACCCACTGAGCTTGCCAGCCTAAAGCAGTGGGTTTCTCTGTTACCAACCCTCTCCCTCCTCTCGATGCCCGATTCCATCCTTCTTTAAACATTTCTATACCTAGTGTTCCCTTCTCTTCCTTTGCCAGATATACAATGGACAGAGGTTTAACATTTAGAATAGACACTGACAATATCTAAATGTTACATAACCTAATTTAAAAACTGAGCAGAGTTCTCAAAGAAAAAAATAGAGATGGCTAATAAACACTGGTGTTTGATATCACTAGCCACCAGGGCGATGCAGATGAAAACACTTTCATATTTTGAGACCCATCTCACCCCAGTCAGAATGGCTATTATCAAGGAAACAAATGATGGCAAGGAGGAGAGCTAAGGGGGAGCTTTAGTCACCGTTGGTGGGAATATAAAGTGGTACAGCCATAGTGGAGATCAGTATGGGATTTCTCAGAAAACTAGAGGTAGAACTTCCAATGACTTGGTCACATTTCTCCTGGGCGTATACCCGAAGGACTCCATGTAGCCTATCATAGAGACACCTACCCACCCATGTTCGTTGCTGCTCTATTCACAATAGCTAGGACTTTGAATCAGCTCACATGTCTGCCAGCCTTTGAATGGTTAATGAAAATGTGGTGCTCAGACACAATTCAACACTACACAGATGTGAAATTAGGAAATGTATAGGAAAACAGATAGATGTAGCTGGAAAATATGATAGTGGGTGAAGTAGCTTAGACCCAGAAAGACAACACTGTGTGTTCTCTCTCATAGGCAGAACCTCGCTTTAATGTTTTAGATTTCTGTATTTTAAATTGTGCTGAATACCTGTGGAAGCCAAGAAGCAAAAAAAAAAAAAAAAAAAAAAAAAAAAAAAAAAAAAAAAAAAAGAGTGCAGAGATCGGGGGTGGGGAGACCAAAAAAGGAGGGCTAGAGTAAAAGCATGATCTGAAAATAGAGGAGGGTACTAGGTGTGGAAAGTTCCCTGCTCCCCTTGTTTAAAGCTCTTGCCCATGTAGTATCCATGATGACTGTTTTTCAGAACCCAATTATGACCCCTGCTGTGATCAGGACTTCCTGAGTCACAAAGGAACACAAACCATATCGTGGGTAGGTACATAGGTGTGGGTGGGGACACACACACACACGCATGCACACACGCATGCACGCACATGCACACCTTTGTCTCTTTACTAAACACAGAAATGAAGGCCATAGAGGCCTTATAGGAATTTTTCATTAGTGCTCAGGTAGACTTTCTATTCAAGCCCTAATGGGATGCATATGCATCAAACACTTGTTAGTGAGGGTGGAAGAGAAAAGTGCAGTAAAATTGAATATTAGTTACGCTAAAAGATACAAGAGAGATGGGAACACCTTTCAGAAGACCTTTACTAACTATTTCTAAATCAAAGTGTCTGGTGCATAGCCAGGGAAGGGACAGCGTTTAAAAGACACATCAGTCTTCATTCATGCAAACGAGATGTCATTACAGGTATTACATGCTGTAATAAGGTTACATGCTGCTCTTGAGTCAATTAGAGATTTGCCCCTAATACCTCTGAGAGCCTGAGCACTGGGACTTGGGTCGCCTAGGGACTTCACTAAACCAATTCACTATTGGTATAAAAATATAAAGAGCTAACTTTATGTATAATGTCTTCGTGCCATGGACTGTCTCCAGAGTTTTACTTGTGAATTTTAAGCATGATCTCACACTGATTCGTTCAGTTTTTAATCTTCAATATCTAGTTCTCAAACCTTTTCATCATCCCAAGAAAACATCTCTACTCCTCAGCAGTCTCTCTACCCTCCTCTCCTTTCTGTCTCTGGATAGACTTTTTAACTTGACAACACTTGACCTTTTAAAAATACCCGGCTTCTTTTATTCAATGTTGTGTTTTCAGGATTCACTCGCATTGTGGCATATGGATGCGCTATTCGATTTTATGGTTTAACTACCCGCCATATGAATATCCTACATTTTATGTATTCTTTCAGTCCTTGGAGAATGTTTTGGTAGCTTTCTCTTTTGGTTGTTTAAAAGTATTGCCATGCATATGCACAGGCTGGGTTTTACGTCAATGTAGAAATGCAAGGTAACAATGTTGCCTTGCACTTGACCAACTGCCAAACCATTTTTCATGTGAACGGCACCGTTCATATTCCCAGGTGGTGTGTGAGTTTCTCTTTATCGCCACTCGCCCACCTCAGTGATAGCTGTCCTAGCAGAAGAGACGTGGTGCCTTCCTGTGCATTTGCGCCTTGCTGTTGACCGATAAGGCTGAGCATGATCTTGTGTGCTTACTGGCCATTTGAGAGGTGGTGATGAGCATTGAATGTCTGATGTTAAATTTTCTCTAGAGGAGAAGTGTGTGTGTGTGTGTGTGTGTGTGTGTGTGTGTATCAGCAATGGGTGGCATGTGGAGATTTTATGGTGGGAAAGAGGAGCGGTTGAATATGTAATGATATAGTCAAGACTATAAGAATATTGTAGTAAGAAAACTTAGACGGTGCCCAGGAAACCTAACTTCTACACAATGCAATGTATGGTCACTAAAAGACTATCTAAAATACTTGTGATTATATTTTTAAAGAAAAATCACTGTGAAATTCTTGACTCATTTATTTTTTAGGTATTTAGGTTTTGTGATCTACGTGTTTCTATACCTATTTAGTCTAACTCTGTTTCTTGGGATTATTTCCTAGCTGGGCAGCTGTGGAACCACGCCTTTCACAAGAAAGGCAGATTCCCTGCAGAGACAGAATAAAACAAAGGTTGTAGAATGGTATAGACCCAGGAGAAGGGCTGAATGGGGAGTCAGACCTGGGTTCCAGCCCTGGCTCCACAGACCCCAGGGAAGGTGATGCAGCCAGGGGCTTCCAGCTCTTCCAGCCCTAGTCGCATTAATTTGAGTCTGTGTTCTGCAGGCTGGGCCGCCGAAGGAGGACCATGAAACTCTGCAGAGAGCTCTCGGACTTGGTGGTGTACACAAACTCCGTGGCAGCCCAGGATATTGTGGATGACGGTAAGGCCCAAGAGTCTCTCGTTCTCGTCAACGCTCTTGACTTTTCTTGGTCATTGCTAGTTAAATGTTTCCACTGATAGGATCTTTCCCACCCATGTCTGGGACTGTATGGAATCTCATTTGTCAGGGAAATGACAGCTAACGTGATTCCGAGCTCACATGTGGGGCTGTGTTGATTATTTGTAGGTGCCTGATTGCCTCGGGGTCAGAGAAGTTTCCTACAGGGTGGAGATGTCTTTTATTATCATGAAATGACAAAGGCTTTTCAGAGTTAAACTCTCACTTCAGGACTCAAACTGTGGAGACCTGGCCTACTTTCATGACCAGGTCACAGATGGCCATTTCGAGTGCGAAGGACCAGGAGGAGAGGATTAATTAGCTAAAACAATACCCTGGAGAAAACACATTTTTCTCATTAATCATTTTGGCTTTGACTAAAGTAGTCTATTTCACGACCAAAGTTTTAAGAAAAGGAGTTAGGCACAGCTCGGTGTCACTGGTTCTCGTGGATTTTCCTTCATTCTTTTCTTTCTGAAAGGGGATTTATTTATTGTGTGTGTACGCGTGTCTTGCCTACGTGTATATATGTGTACCCCATGTGTTCTTGGTGCCTGCGGAGGCCAGAAGTGGCTATTAGGTCCCCTGGAACTCGAGTTTCGGATGACTTTTAGCCACCATATGGGTGCTGGGAACCCAACCAAGGTCCTCAGCAAGTGCTGTTAACTCAGACCCATCTCTCCAGCTCAGACATCTCTCCATGTCTCACTGCTTTCGTTTGTATCAAGCTGAGAGGGACCAGGGACAGCCATCCTCATCTTTGAGTCTCCTAGCTGTTCTTTCCCTCCTTGTCTCCTATTCCATTCTGTCTCCAGATGTTTATTGAGGTGCAATAATCTAGCGGTGCTTCAATCCACTTTGATTTTAGTGGAGGGAAATGGAAATCAAAATGTCTATTTTTGCAATGATCACAGCACAAGGACAGCTTTGTGGGACAATGCTGTTGTCCTCACAGACTTTGGACTCTTCCGTCTTTTTTTTTTTTTCTTAGCCATCATCCATAAGTACTTTTTTTTTTTTTTTAATCCATGAAAAGATGACTTTTCTGGGTTTGGATTTCTTCTTGGAACAATGGCAGTTATACAAAATTTAGATGAATACCATCTGTGAGGAAAGAGAAACCTTAAGACTCTCGACTTGCAAGTGATACTTTCTTATACGGACTGCCCACGGCTCCCGGAGTAACCCAGGGATTGGCTGGATGAAGTTGAAGGTGTCGCTGATTTACAGAATAAACAGTGTTGACTGATAATACCGTTGGAAATCACTAACCTAGTAGCGTTGGGGAAATAATCTTGAGTAATGTTTACCTTTTAAAACTCATGTGTTTGTCTTTAAATTTTTTAAAAAGACAGGAAACGAAGAGTGCATAATGAGCATGCGTCTTACCTTCGTGCAGAGCAACTCAGTTCCATTAAAACACTAATTGATGTGAGCTTAGTAAGCAAGGCCAACTTAATGATACCGGGTGTGCCTGTTTGTGTGGAGACTCCGAAGAGATAACTCAGATATTGAATACAGTGATGCTCCCTATGACTGGGTTTGTCAATAAGTATATTTTCCCTGCTCTGTTCAAAACATTCTCCATCAGAACCTGCCCTTACATTCAATTTTAGTTCTGTTGAGATGCATGAACTCGGCTCACGTATTCTGTCACGAATATATATTAATAATTATTTTTAGGGAAAAAGCCCGTGCTAGAGAAATTACTAGGTTAAGAGCTATCGTCCTCCCATCTCTTCCCCCTGAGCTATGACGAGTTCAAGTTCCAGCTATGGAATGTTAACGCCCAAGGGAGTGTAGCCCCCAGGACAACAGGTACCCTGACAGACCCCATTGCCAACAAGCAAGCCAGACAGACATGGTCTGAGCACAGCCACCTCTATTCCATTCTGTGTCTCCATGGATTTAGACACCGACTTCTAACTTCAGTGTTGGATGCTGAGCGAGAGTGAAACTCTAGGCAAGCCTGCTCTTCCTTCCCGCTGGCCTTTTCCAGCAGGTCCAGTGGACATATGAGTAAACCTTTGGTTCCTGAATATGAGGTTTGGTAAATGTGTATAACAGCTGTGGCATTGTGGAGACGGATCAAGAGATGGATAGGGGCAAAATGGGCAATGTTCGGTCTTTGAAGTTTTATTCCACATGACCCTAAAATCTATAGATTCTAGATGGACAACATTTTGTTGCCCAAGTAGAAATCCAAGTGCAGGCACCATGCATGTTGAGCGCTCTCCACTTTTCTACTTTATAAACCTGGCTGGCTGGACAATCTTCCGTGTTTCTGAAACATTACTTTAAAAATTTTTACTACTATTATTTATATATATATATTTTAAAATATTTTTCTATAGTATTTGCTACTATATTTACTACTATTAACTTAGTATTGTTGGAGATTGGGCATAGGGCCTTGTATCTGTTTGGTTAAGTACTCTACTACTGAATTATGTCCAGACATCTTTCCTTACGTTGATTTTAGGACAGTGTCTGCATTGCCTGAGATGACAATGAAGTCACTCACAGTGCAGACAACCTTTAAACTTGGAATCTTCCTCTTGGTCTCCTGAGTTGCTGGCATTACATGCCTACTGCATGAGGTGTCTCTCTCTCTCTCTCTCTCTCTCTCTCTCTCTCTCTCTCTCTCTCTCTCTCTCGCCTTTCACCAAGCAGGTTTTGACTGACTCCATGAACAATCAAATCACCCTCCAAACTCAAGTTTTATTTTTTCCAAGTGGCATTTTTCCTTCATTTTCTTGGACTGTGAATATTGTCCACTAGCACATGTGCTTTTTACCCTTTACATTTTCAGGCACATGTGTTGCTATTGTATGTATATAGCACGTATGTGTGGGTGAGCATGCATATGGGGTCCCGAGGATGTAGAGGCCTGAGGCTTATGTTAGAAAGCATTTTCCATTGTTCGCCCACCTTATCCAATGGGGTGGTGTCTCTCAGTCTAACCAGAACCCAGCAATATGGCTAGTCTTGCTAGTTAGCATACTGTGGGGCTCCCTTGTCTCCATCTCCCCGAGGTGGAATTACAGGCAGACCACCACACCTGCTGGGCATTTACATGGGTTCTGTGGATCTGATCTCTGGTCCTCACAGTTACGTGGCAAGTGCAGAATCCCTGAGCCATCTCCCCTGTCTTACATGTGAATTTTTAACAAGCACCATCAGTGTTTGTCTTCCTGGTGTCAGGAGGAAGTTGTGGATGCAGTTCCATTCATTCGCTGTCACCTGTGTCTGTGCCCAAAGATCTTGTTATGTCATGTACTACAAATAATTTTCCTTCCCCCCTCTTCCTGCTGACCAGACGTGAATCAATGAAACAACTGAATTCTGGGAGAATATGGGACCCCACAATGGGACACCTTAGCAAATGAAGTTCTTATTCAGCTTTGTATTGATAACAATGGAAGGAATCTCGGGGTCTTTTTTGGTCAGGAGTTGCTTACACTGCGGCTTCTTAAGTGGCAAGTTTGGTCTATAACTTTGTTCATACCTGTTTATGTTTTATCTAAACATTTCTGTGTCTCTAACAAACTGTGCCTAAAATGATAGGTAAAGATACTTTAACTTCATGTTCTGATCGGCAACTGAATCTCAGTCAGGTACAGTGGCTCCCATTCTGAGGAGAGTTCAGATAGCGCACGTGAGCCGCCACCAACCACAATGTCTCTGACACTTCCTTTCTGCAATTCTACATATAACTTGCCAGAGAGTGGGTGAGCCTCTCTGAACCCATTCTGGTTCTGGGGTGAATCTTTAATTTGTGAAACGTCCTTGGATTTGCTGTGTCTAAAGTCTTTCGTTTAACAGGCTGAATCCACTTCTGCTGTGGGCCATGTGAGGGCTCTGGCATTATCCAGTCTTTTAGGAGAGAGTGTTGGCTTTGGTACACTGGTCACATTCTCTGTTTCTTTGACTGCTAGGAACCACAGGGAATGTGTTGTCCTTCAGTGAAACAAGAGCACATCAAGTGGTCCAGCAGAAGTCGGAGCAATTCATGATCTACAACCAAAAACAACTCACAAGGATTTACCCCTCTGCCTACCGCATCGACTCCAGTAACTTCAACCCTCTGCCCTATTGGAATGCAGGCTGTCAGCTAGGTCTGTATGGCCTGAGAGCGGTGGTTCTCTGCTTTCTCTCTCTACCTTGCTAACTGTAACTTCTTTCTAATCCCCTCAAACTTCCAATGTTCACAGTGGCTCTGAACTACCAGTCTGAAGGACGAATGATGCAGTTAAATCGGGCAAAATTCAAGGCAAACGGCAACTGTGGCTACATTCTCAAGCCTCAGCAAATGTGCAAAGGTAAGTACCAGCTTCCTAGCTGCGTCTGAGTGCAGGTGATGCCCTGCTATTTAAATTGTTGTTATTATTAATGAGGGCATGTGTGTTTGTATGTATGTTAGTAGAGATCAGAGGGCTACTCTGCGGAGTCTCTTCTCTCCTTCCACCATAGTGGGTGCCAGGGTCTTCAGGACTCAGGTCTTTGGGCTCTGTGGCAAGCATGCCACTCACTGAACTGGATTTGTAGAAGTTAGGCAGTAGAGTTTCCGTTCTCCTCTTAATTTCAGATTCTCTTTCCATGCCTTGTATTTGTTCTAGACCCGAAACAGCTTAGCAAATTACCGGATTCTGACCTAACTGCCCTTGTTGTGATGCCACAGACATTCAATTAGATTGTTCATCCGTGTCATGGTTGCCTGTTGACATTGCTTTAAAGTGTCCCGTCCTCTGGCTTTTGGAAACAAGGTGTAATGAAAACACAACTATAGAAGTGTTGACAGAGATTTCTGTCGTTCCCCCTGTCTATACTTCCTGTTTGCTACTGGCCAATCAGCATTTCATTAAACCAGTACAAGTGACAAATCTTTACGGAGTACAAGACCATTGTCCCACAGCATGGAAGTACTGAAAGTTACGTTGATGGTTACATGATTTCTTAGCTCTAGCAAACACTGTGGTAAATAGCACCATTGTTCCTTTGACAAACTTAAGCTGTGTGCGTGTGTGCATGACTGTGTGTGTGTGTGTGTATGTGTGTTCACGCGCACGTGTGTGTTCCTGTGCTACTGGCTTTTACTTTACTTGGCCTAGGTACTTTCAACCCTTTCTCTGGTGATCCACTTCCTGCCAACCCCAAAAAACAGCTTATCCTGAAAGTGATCAGCGGGCAACAACTTCCCAAACCTCCTGATTCCATGTTCGGAGACCGAGGCGAGGTAAGCTACACCCGACTGTCTATCAATTATGTGATTATTTTATTGCATGTGAACACTCATCTCAGTGGCTTTAGGGCATATATGTTTCTGTGTGTTGGGGGGTACAGATGTTTGAATGTAAGTGTATGTGTGTGTCTGTGTATGCATATGGTGTGTGTGTGTTTCTAAGTGAGCACTGACTTCCACTTATCAGACATGAGCTGGTTTTCTGTCGGTCACACAGACTTCCTCCAGAGCTTTTTATCACCTGTTTTGGACATTTGAAGACATAATACTGCTTCACAGTTCAAGACTGATGCTGGCAGCTGGGATACAAAGAACAAAGGCTAAATGCATTACTGATGGCAATGTGGCCCAAATCATGTATTTAGCTTCCAAATCCCACATGTCCAGCAGCCTTCCTCACTGCTGCCTGCTCCTTGGCCTCATGCTTTGTGGCCACATGCTGTCACCTGCTGCTGTACTTCTGTCGCAGGGTGCAGCAACCTTTTTATTTTCTCCCCATGGGTCAGTCAGTCCTGTGTCCATACCTTCCTCTCAGGGCTGTCCCATCACTGCAGGCTCTCGCCACTTTCACCTTCTCAACTTTCACATCTGATGTGTGGTTAGGACCACCTAGCTCTGCCTGTCCGTACCACTGTAAATACTTCACGTCAGACTTGATCTGACCTGGATGCAGTCCGGTGCAGTGCAGCGCTGTAGCACACACCCCTCAGCTCCCTAGGGTCACCCCACTCTTCACAGTGGCTCTTCCCAACCTCTCTGTACTTGCTAACAGGTAGCACAGTGCCCAGTTATCAGAGAGGAAGGCATCAGCCAGGGCCATCGCCTCCGTGTCTGCTACAGCACCCTTTCCCTTTCTCGCCTTTGCTTCCGCTCTGCATTCACCAGCGGCAGTAGTTAGTTGGATCATCAGAAAGTTTATGCTTATTTCTTTGTGTCTGAAGACAGAAGTCTCTGTCAACACCTCCATAGCTGTGTTTCCACTACACTCTGTTCCCAAAAGCCAGAGGACGGGACACTGTAAAGCGATGCCAGCAGGGCAACCATGACACGGAGGGACAATCTAATTGAACGCCTTTAGCATCCATCACACGAAGAAAGGAATACATATTTCTTGTCTCTCTCAAGTTCTTCATTTTAAGAAGGCTTCAGCCCCAGAAAAGGTGAAAGGATAGTATAATGGATCTCCTCAATTCCCTAATTCAATTATTAAGTTTTCTAACACACGTTGTGCCATCCTCTCATGTATACAGATTTTATAAGTATGTATGTATGTTGTAAGTATGTATGTTTTATGTAAGTATGTATGTTGTATGTGAGTATGTATATTGTAGGTTAGCATGTATGTTGTGTGTAAGTATGTGTGTTGTGTGTTGCTATGTATGTTGTGTGTAAGTATGTATGTTGTTTGTAAGTATGTATGTTGTATGTAAATATGTATGTTGCATGTAAGTGTGTATGTTGTATGTAAATATGTATGTTGTATGTAAGTGTGTATGTTGTGTGTAAGTATGTATGTTGTAAGTATGTATGTTGGAGGTATCGGTCTGCTTTCCTTGGCAGTCATTTGTGACCATCTCACTACTTGCTTATTATGAACAAAGGCACTCTCCTACACAACTACAACAAGATACAATATTGTCTAACATAATGTCTATATCTAATCTTTTCATGTTATCCTCGAGTTGTCTATCATCTTTTCTTTCTCAATCAAATCACATGCATCTTTTTATTACCATTTTCTTCAGGCTTCTGAGGCACAAAATAATTATCCAGGTTTTTTATTTTGATTTTATGACATTGGCACCATGTAGCCATCTTGCTCATGGTAGACCTTTAAGTTGTTTCCAGTGTTTGACCATAATATCGCAGCTTCTCTGAGCTTCTGGGCCTGGGTGACCCTCTTCTTACTTTAGTTGAATATGTACCCGGAACTGAAATTGTATGTTCTTTCAGTAAAAACCTGTGTTGAATTAACAAATACTGGCAAATAGAATTTAGCGTTTTAATTCCACTGTTCACATATATCTAGATATGATTTACCTGGTTCTATCATTCTTTGAATAAGCATGTAGTAACTTTACGTGTTATTGAAATGTGAACATTCAGCTCATTTAGTCTCAGAATAATTAGCACTCCCGCGCAGGTGACATTGGCAGTCATACTTCCTCTCTTTCCTACAGATCATTGACCCCTTCGTCGAAGTGGAAATTATCGGGCTGCCCGTAGACTGTTGCAAGGACCAGACTCGTGTGGTGGATGACAATGGTAAGCTTGGTGATCAGCGGCACTCACTCCTGAGATGCGCCGCAGCTGCGGTGCGGTGCCGTGCGCACGGGCTAGGGAAAGTGTTCTGCTAACAAGAACCCGATGGCTGAGCTCCTTAGCTGCCATCCGCGTGGATGTTAAACACACTGATAAGATTCACCCACTCTGTAAGCTTCTGGTTCCTTCCTGAAAAAGGAAAGGGAATTCTGTCAAACACATGCATTCAGGACGAGCCGACCACTGTGCCCTATAAAATGCCGCAAGCCCATTAAATAATGACAGGCTGAAAATCAGAGAGGTCCACAGTGAGCAGAAGAGATTATCTTTTTTGTTGACGCTGTAATGACCCCTCAGTTACTTCTGCAACTAAGAAAAGAAGGTTTGGCTAACCTTTGAAGAACTGGGATCGATACCTGGTATATTTTGATGAAGCTGTTATAATCAAGACCCCTGGGACTCTTGCTAAGTCTTTCTATTGAAAAGCGTGGGAGACATTTAAAGACTTGGGCTCCAAACTCACCTAGGGAAATATTTCCTAGTGTGTTGCTTGTAATGCGATTCATGTGTTCTCGTAAATGAGTCTTCTTGAAACTTTCGTTTGTGAGGCCCAGGTGTTTAGTCAACTTCTCTTGGCTTTTGTTGTTGTTTGTAGGATAAAAATTTCTAAGGATAAGGCCAGAATGCTCTGGCCCATTCATTTCTTAAATATGGTGAGTGGCCAGCATTTCAATAGTATCAGAAAGGCATCACCTTTACCCAAGTCTAACATGTTTTTCTGGATAATCTTATAAAATTATATTCACATGTTCTATCTTTAAAAACTATTATTTCATACATTTCTTAATTTATATTAATTAATAGTCTAGAGTAATTTGAAATTATGGTGATCTAAACATTTGAGAAGTCAGTGGTTCATAGGGACTCCTTGAAGGATTGTTAGTTAACATTCTTAAAGAAAGCCCTTCTTATGTTAGATTTTCTCAGGGCTCAGGAAACTATCTCTTGTTTTCTTAGTTGCAGAAGTAACTGAGGGGTCATTACAGAGTCAACAAAAAAGGTCATCTCTTCTGTGCACTAGGGGCCTCTGATTTTCAGCCTGTCATTATTTAATGAGCTTGAGGCCTTTTATAAGGTAGAGTGGAAATTATTAGGGTCCCAACCACATACAAACCATACTGGTATTTGAACCAAGGCGTGTGCTTTGTCATTCATGTTCATTGTGTATGGAAATGGAAACAGAATAAGTTCTTGCATCCTGAGAAGCCACTAAGAATGTGCAGTGCACAGTCTGGTTTGAACCTCCTGCTCACTGTATGACCTTAAGCCCATTTCTGTGAACAGCAATGCTCTAAACTATATGATGAGTAACAGATATCTTGGACTTTCATACGTATAGGCATGTGTTACTTGTCTGAATTCAAAAAGTTGTAGTTGGAAACTTGATAACGTATGGATGATTTTCTTGCTGAGACAAAACCAAGCTGGGTGTGGTGGCTCATGTCTGTAATCCCAGCATATGGGAGGTAGAGACAGGAGGATCTGAGTTCCAAGCCAACCTGGACTAGTGAATGAAACCCTGTCTCCAAAAAACAAACAAACAAACAAAAAAGCAAAGTCCCTGCCCTGCCACTCTTACACGTCTTACAGGGTTTCTGTAGGAATTATGACTATTTGTCCACGATAGAACTGAAAGCTACAGAGTGCCATATGAAATATGGTTAGTTACTCCAGCGGGAAAAGCTTCGGTAGATGAGAAATATGATTCTATCAGGGGGTAACTTTCTGTCATATTTCTGCTAAAATACTCTTGGAACACTACTGTAATTTTTAAGCTCATTGAAGCATTTTAATGACAATTAAGAAGCTTTCCAATACAATGGGGCATCAGAGATTAATAGCATAGATGTGATCATTTACAGGCAATTTTCCTACCAATTATTTTCAAGCGTGGGGTAAACTTGGAGGCTTTACTTCAGCAGGGCATCCTGGAGAGGTTCAGGCATTTTCTTGAGTTTAATGACCATTACAAGCAATTTTCACTGTCTGTTCTACAGATGTCGCTGCTAAATCATTTCCAGCCAAGCCCTTTGCTTTTTCTGATTTTTCATTTTCCTGTTTCTCTAAGGATTTAACCCTGTGTGGGAAGAAACCCTCACATTTACAGTCCACATGCCAGAAATAGCTTTAGTCCGGTTCCTGGTGTGGGATCATGATCCTATTGGAAGAGACTTCGTGGGCCAAAGGACCGTGACCTTCAGCAGCCTGGTACCTGGTAGGTATAAGCTGACCTTTCCTCTCAGGATTGACTATTTCTTTTTGTTTTTGTTTGTTTTCTACTTCGGTAGAGCAGTATAGAGGGTCTGGCATATGCTAGGTTAATGGTTTCTCTTTGGAAGATTTAATACATGCATGGGGTACACAGGGTATTTATTTATCAAGTCTGTTATTGTAAATTGTGTTATACAATAGATGTGATGTAGCATCCTGCATAAAATGTGAAGAATGATATTAAGACAGATACCTAATTCTCTTGCACTTTCAAAAAGTCCAAATGCAAATTCGACCAAAAGAACCAATTCTTTTTGCCTTTGCAGGCTACCGGCACGTCTACCTGGAAGGACTCACGGAAGCATCCATTTTTGTTCACATAACGATCAATGAGATCTTTGGAAAGGTGAGCGGGATCATAGAATACAGCAATAGTATGACCTCAAAAAAGTGATTGGTTTCATTAACGGAAAATACATTTGACAAAGTTTTCTTTTGTGGGTGTCTGTGGGGCGCTCAGCAAGCTCAGACAGCATTCCAGGGATGTCCATGTCCACCTCTATGCAGGGCTGGACTCATTTCTTCTTCCCAGAGGTTCTCTCTAGGATTAATAGAATTGAGAAGAGTATCGTACTTTCAGGCAATTATTTTATGAAAATGATGGAGACCGTTAAAATCTGAATTTTATTATAACTCTAAAAATGACCCCATTTTCTACAGTAGGAAATGTGTCTCAGAGCTTTGAAGCATGGCCTATGCTAATCCAGTTAAGATTCCAGCCAGGTCTAGGCAGGGTGAATTCGAGTGGAACAACTGTAAATTGAAGATCAAGAAAAAGTGTGAATGGATTTAAAGCTACCCACAGAAGAAATGGGGAGCAGAAAAGAGTGGGGAGACAGACGGGGGCGGGGAGAAATGGGGAAAGTGAAGTAGGAAGAAAGGGAGACACAATGTCACAAAGAGGTATCTAGTTCTGCCTGTTCTCCCTTCACTGTTGAAGGGCTGGTGCCTTGCAAACCAGTGGATGGTCCTCTAGTCAGGTCAACTGCTGGGGACTTGTCCCCTGTTATTGATTTTCAGGACCAGATGTGTCTCGGAGGGTATATAGCTGGGCACAGTGCCCAGAGTTGCCTCGTACTACTTGTTACCATAGTCTGTGCTGCCTGGAGCGTCTCCACAGTACGGGTATTCTCTGTGAACTCACTCTCCATGTGTAAAGGGGCAGTAAAAATAGTACAGGCCTCATAAGTAAGTTTGTTATTCTTTGAAAGCTGCCTGGAATGGAGCAAACAAGCATACTGTTGGTTAAATATCAGCGTCATGGTGGCCACAGTCCAGCTGGGCATTGAGCTGAGACTGTAGGTTTAGCCTTGCATCAGATAGGAGAAGGGAACGAAGGATTTTTTACTTCTGAAAATGCTGACGGTACAAACTTTCAATCTTGAGTCCCTATTCATACAGCTTGTTGGGCTCTTTCTGTTAGCCTAAATGGAATAACCTAAGTACGAATGGTTTTAAGGTGATGCCTGAATTCCAGAAGGCCAGTTTAACTGTACAGCCTTCCTCACTTGAAGCAAGGTGGCGGGAGACAATAAGGCATACAGTGTCTGTTTACAACTCAGCCCAGAAATAAAATACAAATAAAGTATTTTATATAACTTTTGCTTCATTCCTAAATAAATGGCCAATTTGGAGACATTTATTATTTTCAATGTATGTTTGGGTTGGGATGCTCCTACCATAACATAACGGTGTTGAGTCGGATGAGGAATGAACAGAAGATGGGAAGTTATTAGAAGGGGGAGGCAGGGGCTATCCAGGTGTGCACTCTGTTCTGTGTTTCCTGGCAGCTACTTGAACGAGCCCACATTGTGTTTTGTTGTGTTTTTGTTTTCTCCCTTGCAGTGGAGCCCTTTAATCCTCAACCCCAGTTATACCATATTGCACTTTCTAGGAGCTACAAAGGTAGTTTCTCCGCATGGCCCCGCCCCCTCGCTGGCATAATCTTTTCACATGGCTGTGGTGGCATGTCTCCTCGTGTCTCGCCATCTTCTGCTTACCATTTTGAAACACACATTTGTTGCTTCAAGGCTGTTGGCGTTTTGTCAGTGTGTTACCCATGGAAACTTTTCTACCATTTTATCATCTCTGGGTAGGAAAGTTCTGGAAAGGTTGGCCAAGAAATTGAATGACTGCCTTCCTCACAGAATAAAGTTGATGGCGTGTGCATTGTATTGTGTGACCCCACTGTGAGCTGTTTTCGCATTCTGAACGTCCTCCAGTCAGTGGCTGCAAAATTTCACTTCCCATTCATTCTTCATGGAGCTGCCATTTCAAACTCAAGTTGTTCGTACGACGGCATGTGCTTAATTTGTGGTGGGTCCTTTTTTTTTTTTTTTGTCCCCAGAATAGACAGCTCCAAGGTCTGAAGGGACTGTTCAATAAGAATCCCAGGCACGGATCTTCAGAAAACAACAACTCCCATTATATTCGAAAGCGATCGATTGGCGATAGAATTTTGCGACGTACAGCCAGTGCTCCAGCCAAAGGCAGGAAGAAAAGCAAAGTGGGCTTCCAAGAAATGGTTGAGATCAAAGATTCTGTCTCTGAGGCCACAAGAGATCAAGACGGCGTCCTTAGGAGGACCACACGGAGCCTGCAAGTACGCCCTGTCTCCATGCCTGTTGACAAGAGTCTTCTGGGGGCTTTGTCGCTGCCTATATGCGAAGCAGCAAAAGACACAGATGGAAAAGAAAACTCTCCAGGTAAGATGCTTTCAGTTCCTCTCAGCTGCCTGGGTTTTTTTCCCCCTTGTTTCCATGACAACATGACTGCCATTCTGCAATTAAAATATTCTGAAAAATAAATAATTTCTAGTGTTAATTCTATGCAAGGAGATTTTAAACTTTGGGTAAGAAAGTAAAAAGTGAGCTATTTCCTCTTCTCCTGTGGCCTTGAAATAACATCTCTTTCCGTGGGGAGGTGGAGGAACATAGGCGTGATGACCTCGGACATTCAGATCTGAGAAGGAAAGGAAACCTACCATATACAACTAGTGTGTTGGTTTTCTGAGTGGTAACTTTCTAGATCCAGGGGCAAAGGGTTTAAAGAGGTCTCGTTCTTAGATTGACCCAAGGTTAGATACCCATCCTAGCTTTTCTGAGACTGAAGGCAGTTCCATAACTTTTCACTATTTAAAACATTTTTTTTTGGTGTGTGTGTGTGTGTGTGTGTGTGTGTGTGGTTGGAAATGTTTGCGGTGAAAAGTTGCTGTTAAAGGCAAGTCGCTGACTCCACCTGAAAAACTTTCTTCCTTAAGGTGTGGCCGAGGCAGCATTTTCCTCCCGCGATCTCACTCCCTGCTTAGTGCGGTGTCAGGGAAGGAGTCGTGCCCATGGCTCTTGCTTGGTTGCAGGGCCATCTTTTTCCTTCACTGGGAGTATGAGGAGCTCATGTGGGCAACCTGATGACAAGCAATGAGCACCTCACAGAGTGACAAAGAGCTCTTGAATCTGTGACTCCTCTTCCTATTCCAGAACTGTGTCCTCTGACTATTTCTGGAATTATCTCGAGCAAGTAGAATGCAATACCTTGTTTTTAATTTTAGCAAAATTGGTCTTTATCCAAACAATATTATTTTAGTGATTTATTTTCCCACAAATGTTGCTTTGCTTATATATTGGTTTTTTAGTATCAGATGTTCTAGGGAGAAAAAGAAAAGGCAGTTTTAGAATACTTTATTAGAAGAGAGGGGGAAAAGCAAACCTTGAAAATTCCTAGTTTGCAAGACCCTGGAGTCTACCTTGAACTGGGAAAATGTTTGAAGTTTTGCTAAGAGTAACGTCAGAGAGGAGAGGACACACGTGGCACTAAATTTATCTTAAAAGCCTGTGTCAGCAAATAAAACTCTGTCCAATAGAAATCTGTCCGAACTAGTCCTCACTGCAGAAGATGCTAAGCCAAGAAGATGAGCTGAGCAGCAAGCATGAGACAATGTTTCTTTCCTACATTTGAACAGATATAAGAATGAATCATAGGCATTAAGCAAAGAGCAAATATGGAATGATACCCAGTCATTACAGCGATCCCAGATAGTTGCAAGAAAAAAATTAAGTAGAAAAGGGCAGAATATGGAATTCTGAATAGTCTGTCTCTCTACAAAAGTGGCTGTTTCTGAAGTGATATCATGGGATATTTAATTCTATACAATTTGGGAAGCTTAAATTTTTTTATGATGATTCAATTTTTAACAAGGAGAAAATATTTTAGTGAAAATGATCTTTATCCACGTATCATGACTTTGAAAGAGTTAGTAGACAATTAACTAATTGAGCATTGGGCATTGCCTTAGCTTATATCAAATAGAATGATTATCCCAGGTTACTGGGAATTATATGTTTTTACTTTCCCTTAAATACCATCTTAACCACACTGGAGGTGAAGTGGGGAAGAATGTAATATATTTTTTTTTGTACTGAAACCAAAAACATTATCAACAGCATATTAACTATGCATAGTGATGCGGGATTGATGACTGGTTATCTTTTCTCTCGAAGCCAATAGGTATTAATAGTTTTGTACACATGTCGTACTTTCCAACTGTGTTAGAAATTAATTGGCTAGATCAAATATTTTGCCAAAATGCCTTTAAAAATGCTATCGTTTGTGGTTTACCTGTCGCTAATACATGTATAACTTTGCAAGCTGATAGTGTCTTGTTTGCAGGTACCGTAGTGCATTGTTTAACAGAGCTGTCTTGTTCTGTTTTTATTGCCATGCTTCTGTGTAGTACAGATCTGAATAGGAGGCAGCGTAAGGTAATCCTCACTGCGAAAGCACAGTAACTCATTGACATTTCTGGACAATGAATATTACATCCTTAGCTGATGTAATACACATTCCAAAGGAAGCTCGGTGAAGTTCCTGTAATTCTATTTTTTTTTACCATTTATCCATCACACAGACACTGTGTTGCAAACTTCTGCTTATTCATAATTATATTGTGTCATAACGTAAAATTTTTTACATTTTCCATTTGTCTGTGTCGAGACAAACGTGAGTGTCAGCAGCACTTACATCAAGTGATATGCTTTACCTAAAATGCTCTTGTTTTATTTAGCAGAGGACGAGGATGGAAGAAAGCAGCGAGAGGCAACTATAAAAGACCCACAGTTTTCCAATTTCAACAAAACATTATCCTTCTCCTCCAGTGCCCTTCTTCACAAAGATGCCAACAGAGGTGATTGCCCTATTTCAAGTTCTAGTGTATCAATGCCAGAACAGTGTGGAGGACCAGGTCCAAAGGGTGGGAGAACCAAGCCAGATGTGACAAATGATTGCCAGGAAAACCAGTGCCCCCCCAAATTCCTCTCTCCGAGGCAGCATTTGGCACTCGATCCTGCAAAGAAGGGACCACAAGATCTCCCTGGGGTGAAAGCCACTGAAAAGCGGCGTACTGGGGGCTTAGGGGAAGGGAAAAGCATGTTGTTGGAGAGTGTTCTTTCTCCAAGTACCCGGGAGATGGAGAACATGGAAGGGAGCAGGACCACAGGACGAGCTGCAGCGTCCTTCTCTCTGTCCGACGTCTCTGTGCTCTGTTCTGACGTCCCGGATTTGCACTCAACACCCATCCATCAGGACACTGAGATTTCCAATCTCATTGATGATGTTACTTTAACAAATGAGAATGAGCCGGGCAGTTCGATCTCAGCGCTGATTGGCCAGTTTGAAGAGAGCCAGCCTCGGGCTAACGTTGCTGTGGTTTCTCACCTCCTCGGTACCGATGTGACCACAGGAGGTGCTCCTTTGCCTATGACATTGGGCCTACAAACGCCCTCCAAGCGTGTTTTTTCCCAGGGGAAACCCAAGGCCTCCTCGTACTCATCTCCTGAGCTGATCAAGCTCTGTAGTGCTGAGACTACCAAGCCTGCAAATAACACACTTGTTTGTGAAATGACTGGCTTGCCCATCTCTAAGTCCAAACCAGGTACAGACCCTTCTGATAAAACCAAGACAAGGGTCATGGAAGGTAACTTGCCTGGGACTCATGATGCTTCTCCTGGCCAGTTTCCCAAAAGCCACACTCATGGAAAGGACCAGAGACGAGTCATGAATAGCCCTGATCTTTCCACTGAGTTGGCCCTGGAAGATCTAATTGCAGACCCTGCTCTTGGTATACATTCTGAAGAAAGCAGCCTTGTAGAAATCGATGGAGAATCCGAAAACCTGTCTCGAACGACCTGTGACTACAGGGGAGAGGGTCTAAGTCAAATCGTTTCTCCACTGAAACTGAGGCACAGCCAAGAGATGGTGGAACACGTCCCGAGAGGCTTGAGGAATGTTTACTGTAAAGAGGCGCCCCTCCCTTCTGCCCCTGAAATATTCAACAATATTCAAGGTGTCAAAAATCAAAGTATTTCTTGTCTAACCTATCAGGGTGCTGGCTTTGTGTATAACCATTTCTCAAGTTCAGATGCAAAAACGAACCAAATCTGTGGGCCCCAGCAGCCTAGGGCTACAGATATGCATGCCTCCCCACTGACGCCGTCAGCACATGCTCCTTTGGTTGCTTTGAAACTGCCAAGTCCTTGCAAATCCAAAAGTCTGGGGGACTTAACATCAGAGGACATTGCCTGCAATTTTGAAAGCAAATACCAATGTATTAGTAGGAGTTTTGTGACAAACAGCATTAGGGACAAGAGTGTGGCTATGAAGACAAAGTCATTAGAGCCTTTAGATGCCCTAACAGAACAGCTCCGAAAGCTGGTGTCCTTTGACCAAGAAGACAGCTGTCAAGTGCTGTACTCAAAGCAGGATGTCAGTCAGTATCCCAGGGCGTTAGTCAGAAAGCTGTCCTCGAGAAGTCAGAGCAGGGTACGTAACATTGCCAGTCGTGCCAAGGAGAAGCAGGAAGCGGGCAAGCAGAAAGCCACGACCCACAGCACCAGAGGAGGAGTGGTCCTTCGAAGTAAACCTTCGGCTCCCGCTCTGGCTGTGAACCGACACTCCACGGGCTCATACATTGCAAGCTACCTGAGGAACATGAAAGCTGGTGGCCTGGAGGGCCGAGGCATCCCAGAGGGAGCATGCACGGCCCTTCGGTATGGCTACGTGGACCAGTTTTGTTCAGATAACTCAGTTCTGCAGACCGAGCCAAGCAGTGATGATAAACCAGAAATTTATTTTCTTTTGAGGCTGTGAGCTATACAAAGCTGCATTTTCATTGTTTACGCAATATTCTATAGGATGTTAGAGTTTTTCCATTGTCAGTGACTATGATGCTTGGCTTTGAGATGATTTTCAAATGTATTTTGGAACTTGTATTTTGGTCTCCCTTTGACTTCACGCGTTCTCTCACTTCGTGCGTTTGTATATAGATCTGTGACATTTCCCAGGAACCTATGATCTCTTTCCCCCAAGGTGTTGTAACTTGTGTCAGTATGAGACGTGTGCATGCCCTCGATGTGAAACTTCTCAGCAGTTTGGGCCACAGTGTGTGCATGTTGCACAAAAATGCTCTTTCCCGTGTCTTGGGTCATAGTCCCAGAGGCTATCACTTTTACTCACTGAGTGTTGAGCTCGTTAAGAGCAGACTTTTCCAAAGATAAAGGAATGGATTCTTTATTTGAAATGAACTTCTCCTTCTGAATCGAAAGACCCAGATTCAGTTTTATAGCTCAGTGTTTAAAATAGTTACCTTGTCCTTCATGATTTCCTCACCCCACCCAAAGTGGGAATTCCATGAAAATGGACAGTGTCTCTCCCAGTCCCCAAATCCCTTTTAGAAGAGACTGTAAGGAAGAAAGTGAACTTCTGTATATAAGGAGAAAATAGGTTTTTTTGCATAAATATTGTTACATATTTTTGCTAATGGCTTTGTATGTAACAAGAATCCAGTTGCCAAGCTCTCTGTCATACTTATGAAGTATGTTTTGAAGTGTCTGTGATGTGATAGATTGAGAATAATGACTTTCAGGATGAGGGACTTTCAGCCAGGCATGGTGGTTCACGTCTTTAATCCCAGGACAGGGAGACGGATCTCTGAGTTTGAGGCCAACCTTGATCTACATGGCAAGGCTCAGATATAGCAGATCTACATAGTAAGACCTTAAGAAAGTTGAGAGAGAGAGAGAAAGAGAGAGAGAGAGAGAGACTTACATTAGACTTAGAACTCAGAGTAGTGCAAACAGAAAACTTCCCCCAAGATTTCAAGAAAAAAAAAAGGTATTTTCTCATAATCCAAGTGAATAGATGATTAAAAGAAACCTTTTCCCTTTAGGGAACCAAGTAACTATATTTTAGTACTGACATATATTATTTTCATTGTGAATCCATTTTTTATTGCATGTTCAGGTGTCATTTGCTTTTTGTACCATGAATTACAATGATGTTCTTCCTGGACTTCATAAAATATAATTAAAACAGATTTTTGAACACTTGGTAGTTTCATTTATTATTTTTAAAAAAAGAACCAAAGCAGGAGTTTGTGTGTTAACTGTTGAGTGGGGGACTGGGAGTGCTTGGATATGTCTTCCTCTCTGTGTTCTTACAGCAGAATTGAGGACGTTCATTGTCAGGGACGACTTTGTACAGCAGTTTATGTCTCCGGGTATTTTCATTGTGTTGAAGAAATATCCATTTTTTGCCTTTTTTTTTTTTAGATATATTTGCTTTATGTGTATGAGTGTTTTGCTTGCATATATGCAGCATGTGTGTGCCTGGTATGTGAGAAGGGCCAAAAAGGGTGGTAAGCCCTTTGGAACTGGAATTAACAGACCGTTGTGAGCTGCCCTATGTGGATGCTAGGAACACAACCTGGGTCCTCTGGAAGAGCGGCAAGTACCCTTAACCAATGAACCATCTCTCAAGCCCCAGCATTATACTGAAGAGCGTATTTGTAAAGTAACTGAAATAGATACCCAAAAGAATGATTTGTGTGCATTTGGTATGGGTTTACACGTTTAGAAGTAATTCCTGGCAACTAGTCCAGTGGTGGGAGTTGTAGCTCACATGGGGAAAGTAAGTGAGATGTTCTGTTTGGGGTGTGTGTGTGTGTGTGTGTGTATATGTGTATGTGTGTATGTATGTATGTGTGTGCATGTGTGTGTGTGTGTATGTGTGTATGCATGTGTGTGTATGTATGTGTGTGCATGTGTGTGCATGTATGTGTATTTGTGTGCATGTGTGTGCATGTGCATGTTTGTGCTATGGGGATCATCAGTCCCTGCTTCCCTCAGTGCCAACTCTTAGCCTTTCCCTAATGCTGGGCGTCGTCTTTTTTCACACACACTCGGAATCCTTGGAGGCAGAAGTACCCAGTTAAACGGGATCAAAACCCACTTGTTTGCCCTTAATGAGCTTGAAGTCTTTCTGTCTCGGGATCTTCAAATCTCTAATGCTCTAGCCTGAGATCTTGGCTCCTTTGTTGTTCTTTTTATTTTAGAAGACAGTGATGTAATACAGAGTTGTTTAAATTAAATTGCTATGAATAGACGTTAGCTGCTGTTTATGATTTAAAGAATCTTTAGTCCAAAAAGAAAAAAAAAAAGGCGAAAGAAAAATTCTCTGTCTGGTCCTGACGTGAATGTTTGGGGGCCAGCAGCTAGGTAATGCAGTCGTCCTGGGAAGAGGTGATGTTATCCCTAGTTCAGAGGCTCAGAAAGTGAGTCTCATTTCGTGATTTGCTCAAGGTCCTGGTGGAATAGGAAGATGCTAAGCAGGAGAGTTCCATCTCTTGCATTATTTGTCTTCCCCATGCACATTGCCCTTTCAGAAGACCTTAGCAGACGCATGGGTAGCAACCACTCTAGGTGCTCCAAGTGCTCTTCTTTTCTGTCAGTGAGAATGAAGATTGTCTCTATGGCGCCACCAGCTGGCTGAGGTGATAAGATGGACTGGCACTGTTTCATGTCTATAGGACTAACAATGGCACAAGTCGGAGTTAATGATCCAGGGAAACAAGCCAATAATGCTCTCATATCTCTTTTTTTCTTTCTGTTTTGTTTTTCTCAATGATAGCAAGGCCTGTTCTGAACACAGCGCAATGTAAGAAGGCATAATTACTATTCTGAATAGTTTACATACTTCCTTTACATGGCTTCCATGTTTGGTTGCTATCTCAGCATGTTTGTGTGATTAACTGTGTTTTCTTAGCTCTGTTGTTGAAGGCAGGATCATGCTGTTGCCTGTGTGGCATGAGCTGGCTTCAAGCTCACAGTTCTCTGGGGCTACAGGAATACACACACACACACACACACACACACACACATACTGCTGTGTGGCCTGGAGCTGGGGTGACTTGCTCTAAATAGTGCTCCGAGCTTATTTTGTACATTTAGTGTTTTAATTTTGAAATGAATTTAGACTTGCAGAACAGTTTAAAACAAGCACAGCAAATTCCCACACACCCTTCATCTGTCTCTCCTAAATGTTAACATTGTACATAACCATAACACGGTAGTCAAAAATAGGGAACTAAAATTCAAATTGTCTTGTTAACTAACTTATCACCAGTTGTCCTGCGACTGTCCTTTGTCTAAATCGGATTCTAATCCGGGATTCCATGGGGCATTTAACTGACAGGTCTGTCTTCAGGGTCTTCCCTAGTCTGAGAAAGTTCAAAAGCTTTTGCTTGCATTTCATGGCTTTGATAATAATGATACAGCTGCCAGTTGCTTCTTCATGATCAAATTCAAGCTGTGCATTGTGGTCCAAAATTTCGAACATCTGACACAGTGTCACTGGCAATCAGGATGGCTTTCCATTGGCAAAGAGAGACTTCTTTAGGGCCTCAAAATCCTCACATTCACCCCATGTTTTTCCACTCTGGTTTACAGAATCCAGTTATTTCCTAATCAATACCCTCACTTTTAAGGTACATCCCTATGAGTCTGGGAACTCAGCTTGCGCCATAACTGAGCTCATTGCAGAATGAAAGATTCTGCATTAATGGGCTGGAGAGATGGCTCAGAGGGTAAGAACACTGATTATTCTTCCAGAGGTCCTGAGTTCAATTCCCAGCAACCACATGGTGGCTCACAGCCATCTGTAAAAGAAATCTGGTGCCCTCTTCTGGCCTTCAGGCATACATGTAAAATAAATAAATAACTTTAAAAAAAGATTCTGCATTAATTTTTGCCAATCTTTGTGTTATGACACATATATTAGACTTATGATTACTTATCAGGCATTCAAAGTAGGAGTTTGCATAAAACCTGAGCTGTTATCTTTTCTTACCACTGTGCCTATGACATTAGAAACAAGCAGCCAACTCTGCTGTATTCATCACTTGCCAGAAATATCCAAAATTTCAGATGTGATCACCCAGCTCCTTGCTTCTTACCCTGCTTGACTAGGGTTATCCAGTGGAGACACTTAGGATATCTCTACAACCAGAACAAGCCATGGTCTGTCAGTGTTCTCTTTACACTAAAGAGAAAATCCTGAAAATGTCTGAATCAATTCTTCTTGGTTGAGGATTATTTGCTATATTTCTTGAATGAACTGTGGTCAGTAAAAGATAGATGATAGATAGATAGATAGATGATAGATAGATAGATAGATAGATAGATAGATAGATAGATAAATGATTGACTTATGTGGTTATGGAGGCTGAGTTGTCCAGGCCTAAGGATCCAGGAGTGATTATGGTAGCCTAAGCGAGATTATTATTACTCTATCACCAAATGATAACTTAATAGTTCCATCCATACTTCACTTGGGATTATACTATTTTATTTATTGTTCATATCATTATGGATATGTTTTATTTCCTGGATTATAACTCATACCATATGTATTTTGTTGTTCAAATTGTCCTAGATTGGGGACTAGGAGTTCATCTTTAAATTGTATTTGAATAGTTTTACTACATAAATTCTCATATTATTTTATGTAAATAATTGCAAATAAACAAGGTTTCTTTATGATTACAACATTAACAGCTTTTTTTGCAAGGAATAGCATTTTACTTTGAAAAAAGTTTAATTAATGATACTATACTTGATGATTATAATTTAATAGCTATAACAGAATACCCTGCATCAAAAACAAACAAATAAGAATACCAGGCATAATTATTTCTTCTTATCACCAAATTATTTTGTTCTTTGGATCAGTAACCACCTGGATTATTGGATCTTACGGCTTAGATTGACATGTCCTAAAGACGTTTTCACCACCCAGAGAAACTATTTCAAAGTAACATTTGAAGAAAACAGAAAATATTGACATTTTAAAGTAACTTCTATGAACTGATTTTATGAATAACAAATATATAGCATTTAAAGCTCATCTTTTTTAATAACTCATTCATTTTTACCACCACATCTTGATAGCTGAATATAATATATCATCTATATTCATTGGTTTTATTTTTACTTCAAGTCACAGAAAGCGATTCTAGCTCTCTCACTCCAAAATGAATTTCTTAAATGGATATGTGATAACTTATAGAACAGGGTGAACAACTAAAACTCTAGTTCAGAAAAGGCAGGTATCCTTCAGAAGGGGCTACATGGCCCCATCCAGGAGAGACTAACGAGCTGATTCTGAGAAGCCCCTGAAGGTGATCGGTGTGACTCCACTCAGGAACCAAATATCAAAGACAAAACAAGTGATGGACCTTGATTGACAGCCATGAAAAGATTAGGTTCACTTAGAAACCAGGAGTGGACATTTATATGACAATAATCCCAGAAATAGGAAAGCTGAAGGGGGAAGCTAGCAGTTTTGAAACCAGACTTTTTTTTTTCCTTTTATTTTTGAGATTATAAAATAATTACATCACTCCTCTTTCCATTTCTTTCCCCCACCATTGCCCCTCCTTACTTTATTTCAAGTTTATTGCCTCTTATTTCATTGATTGTTATTTATTATAAACATATATAATCCTAGGTATAACCAGGCCAGTCTGTATAATTGTTGTGTGACAAGACTTTTCTTGGGGAGATGTAATACACAGGTCTATTCTCCATAAGTAGAGATCCTACAACAGACCAGAGTTTAGATACCATCAAAGTTCGATTTGGTGAACCAATGAGTTTTATTGGGGTTACTTACAGGAATATGAGTGAGAAGTTACTTACAAGAGCAGAAATGACTCAAAGACAGCTGTCTTGTTGAGGGAGCGGCGGGGCTGCGTCCCCGGCACCTGGCCGCCCGCATGGCTTATGCCCCAAAATAATTACACGGAAACTGTATTCTTTTAAACACTGCCTGGCCCGACTAGTTCTAGCATCTTATTGGCTAGCTCTTACATATTGACCTAACCCATTTCTAATAATCTGTGTAGCCCACGAGGTGGCTTACCAGAGAAGATCTTAACCTGCGTCTGTCTGGAGTGGGAGAATCATGGCGACTCCTTGACTCAGCTTCTTTCTCCCAGCATTCTGTTCTGTTTACTCCACCCACCTAAGGGTTGGCCTATCAAGGGGCC